CCTTCTAATAAGTATAAATTCAGTCCCAGTTTGCCAGATAAATGTCCTTAACTACCTGCTTGAATAGAAACTTGTACTCTAGTTTTATGAGAAAAGACATTTTATGGCCCTTTTTCTGGGAGACCTTTGTTTTTTTGCTAATTTAGTTTTACCTAATAGTTCAATAATGTTTTTAATGGCCTATTATATCCCAGAATTTCCCTAATTCAGTTAAAAAGCTGCTAAACCTGAAATAATTTCACTTAATTCAGTGATGTTGAAGTGTTATGTACCACCTGGTCAAAAACACAAATCTTAGGGAAACATTGTATAATTAAACACTTCAAGTGTGTGTGTGTGTGTGTGTGTGTGTGTGTGTGTGTGTGTGTGTGTGTCTGTCTTTCTCAGAGTGGTACTGGGAGTGTGTGTTCAGGCAGAGTTTCTACAGGCTGCTGGCAGTTCTCCTGTGTCTCCTCTCAGCAGCAGTAGTCTGGTCTGAGTGCACCTTCTTCAGCACGCGCCCCGTCCTCTCCCTCTTCGCTGTCTTCGTTCACATGGCTGAAAAACAATACAACTACATTTGTATCGAGGTAGGCGTGCATTTAGTGACGCACACAGAATGGCACAACAGACCTACGCTTCATTAAGCATGAACACACTCAACAAAAACAAAAACATACAGGGCTGATAGCAAAAAATCCATAGTTACTGGGGAACATTATCTAATCCATCCAACTCTGTACTAAACCAGCTAACCTGCCTCCTCTTTTTTCTTGTTATGTTTCTCCCCACCAGATGGTGTGCTTTGTCAGCATCCTCTTCCTGTGTGTCTGTGTCTACTCCACCGTGTTCAGGATACGAGTTTTCAACTACTATTACCTGGTGCCACATCATCAGACTGACGCTTACAGCCTGCAGTTCAGCGGCATGTACGTTCCTCATAAAGTCATAATATAAGATATTTCACATTATAGGTGTAAGAGCAGTGTTGGGTCAGATTACTTTGAAATGTAGTCAGTTACAGAATACAAATTACATGGCAATTATTGTAATTAGTAACATTATCCACTGAATTACCAAAAAATATCATCTAACCTGAATACTTTTGGATTACTAAAGAAAATGGGCACAATGGCAGCCACAAAAATTAGATTTCTCTTTAAACATCTCAAAAATGTTTCAGTGCAAATAAGATTCATTTTGCATATTCAGAATTTACAGTTTGTCAAATGAAATAATACAGAATGTCTTCTGTGATTATTTATACATTTTTACCATATTAAAAAAACATTGTTGTTGTTAGCCGTCCACTGGCAATCCCATGATGTCATTGGTTGATTCTGTCGAGCAATCGGATGCTGTGTGTTGCAGCTCTGATCTCAAACACATTGCACAATTGAATAACATACCCCTATCAAGATCTGTACAGCCCAAAGGGTTATTAGAGCATTGGTTATCATTATGATTCTTAAACCATTACCATATTTCAGTAGTAGTAGTAGTTCAAATTTAAATTTTTGACAGGGTAACTGTAATCTTATTACACATTTTTTTCAAATGATGATTATAATATATATTATTATTATTGTAATCCCATTTGGTAATTGTGATGACATGTAATCAGTTACTACCCAACTGTATTCTTAAACATCTGTTTATATGAGTGGGATGTTTCAAAGTAAACTGTATCAAAGGACATGACTTTAAAAGAGCATTATAATGTTGGGTTGCTTCTCTTTCTTTTTCCCCCTCAGGTTGTTTTGTCGTTTGACCCCGCCTTTGTGCCTCAACTTTCTGGGCCTGATTCACTTGGACTCCGCCATCTCACACCAGGACAGAATACAGACATCTTACACCTCTGTGGGTCCCACATACAAACAAACACACACACACACACACACACACACACACACACACACACACAGATATACATACTAACAAAGACATATTAAAGGAACACTCATACTATACTTACACAGGCGTAATGCACCAATCACAGATAGGAGCCTTTAAGTGTATAATCACCAAAAATATATAAGAAGCAATGTCAAAATCTCTCTGCGTTCAATCCAGATGGAGCAATGCAATGTCCCTCTTTCTTTCCCTCTTTCAGATCATGGGCTCAATGCGTGTGCTGTCTTTTATATCTGATGGGTTCTACATCTATTATCCCATGTTGGTATTGCTGCTCTGCTTTGCCACTTTTTTCAGGTAAGCCAACAAATGCTAACAACTAAACCTGATGTTCTTATCAGTTTAATATAAAGACTACATTCAAGTGTAGTTTGAATGTGCACACTATCCATCTCTTTGGTACAAGTAGGATTACACTCATGTTTCAGTCAAAGAATGTAGGTTAACAATGAATTTGTAATTGTGCGTGTGTGTCTGTAGCCTGGGCTCTCGCTGTTTGAACCTCCTGGGCTTTCATCAGTACATCACTGACGACGACTTGACCTCTGACCTGGTGGATGAGGGCAGGGAACTCATCAGAAGAGGTAGTCTTAAAATTCAGTCATCACTGTTTCTAATGTATATGTTCAAAGGCAAACAGGTGGCTCATTCTTTTACTTTTTTTTAAATGTATTTGTTATACCTCAGTAAAAATTAAGTTGTTGTTTATCTGAAAGTCATTATGTTCATTTTTGTAGAAAGAAGAAAAAGACAGAAAGCTGAGGATGGAGAACACAGGAGATGGGTTAGAAATGTTTATTCTTTGAAGTATTTTCTCACAATTTAGAATTTTAATTCTAAGAAGCAGATAAAATCTACTCAGTCTGTTGACTCACTGGTTCTACTGGTTTGCATTAAGTGTTGTGAGGTATTTACAGCATGTGTTTTGTTTTTTGCCTCAGGCCTGGAGGGAGCGGTATGGAGGCCAGGGGGCTACTGGGCAGACCAGAGCTGGTTACACTGAGTTAAAGGATAGCCAGAGCAGCCCTGTCACAGAGACCAAAAAAAGTGGTATGGGATTAAAGAAAAACTTCTCCAGTCATGGAATAAAATAATAATAAAATATTTTTATGTCACTCAAAGCTACTGAAACGGATATGACAGGACATTTCAAACAGTTACTGGGTTGATTGATTTTATTTTTTATTTTATCCATGTTTGTATGAGTTTAAAGAGTTAGCTTATATATAGCTGACCACTAGACTCACTATCCCGTGCAGGAAATTAATCATCTGCCACCCTGCCCATGCAAGGTAGATGGAGACACCTATTGACTCTCTGTCCCCTGGTCCCACAGCAACTTATTCTGATTTTGCTCCAGTGTAAGGGACTGTTAAGTTAAGGCAAGTTATCCAACATGCATAGTCGAACATCTACAAGTCACAAAAAGAGTGAATTAAGCAGAGCTATTATGTTATACTACTCTGTGCTTTTGCTGCAGAAATGAATAAAAAGAACCCACGTACCATTTTTGTCACCTCACAACTCTCCTCTCTTCGCTCTGATTCAAAAATTATTTTGTGTATGAGGATCACTTATGTCCATCATCTCTTGTCTTTCTCAGTTATTACATTCACCAGAAGAGATGGAGAGACAGAGGAGCAGCAGAGAGGCTTACTGCAGTACAATTCCAGTGATGAAGGTTCACCAAACAGGAGGTATGTGTTGTTGTTTTTATTTTTTTGCAGTATGGCTCACAGAACTTGATGTTGCATTAAACAGGTTTCCTTAATCACTTACTCTGTCTCTCTGTGTTTGCCACCGCAGGTCCGGAGGACGTTACCTGTCTCTGTCACCATCTCGGACAGGCATATTTGATGATGTTTGATAGACAGAGGACACTGGGGAACAGCAAAAAAAACTATATTCCAGCTACATGCTGAAAAATGACTACAAATGCATATGTTCTTGAGGGAAGTTCAAATGCAAAGGGTTATACAATATCTCAGGAAATAAAGAGGGAGATCGTGTATCTGAGATATGGACATACAATCAAGGAAAAGGGTGAAAGTGAAATAAACACTCCCAGTAGAGGGTTTTGTGCAGTATCTCAGCTGATTTCTCTAACTGGAAAATTCCCTTACTGTGAACGGTTGTTCCTCATCCAAAGCCTTAACCTGACACACAGCCAAACCATTTAGAACATATTTTTGATAATATAGAGTATAGTAATAATGTTTTACAAATGTAGATAAGTGGATGAAAGAGATGATGCACCTGCAGTAACTGAGGATAACTGCACACGATATATGTGTAAATATATCTGAATATTTGATCATAAGAGTTCATACATTTCATTTCTAAAATAAATAGCTCATTGTGTTTGAAACAAAAACAGTAAGAAATGTGATTGATGTACAAAATGGGAAGATATTAACAACCTAACTTATTTCTTCTGGGATATTTTGTTTTTTGGGAGTGACATGACTTGATTTTCTGTAAGTGTGTATGTTTTGTAATTGCGTGTTTACAACGCATTAAAGCATAATCATTTTATCCATTTATGCAACCTTCATTAGATTATGAGTTACTTAAATGTGATGCCCTGGCACATACGCAGTGCAATCTTCAGTTGTTGGATCAAAATGTTTACAATATCATAGAGTAGTTGTGGCAAATGTCTCAAAAGCTTGTATAAAAAAGCCCTTCAAGTTTAGGTAAGACCAAATGAAAAGCAAAACTGTAAATTATATTTCATAATATTTTCATTTAATATATTTTTAAGAATTATTGACAACTATTTTAAAGTATATTTGACTTTATTTTAATGTGAATTAAGCTCAAAGTCCCGCCACTATCAGTTACACTAGGCCTGTCTTGAACAGGTGCCCGTGCTGCCTTCCTGTGCCCCTCGTAAACTATACAACTCCGTAATCAGTTGACAAGTCGAACAACCAAAGGCTTTGAGAGTTGGAAGTGATAACATCCACTGTAGCAAAAATACCATACTGTTTTTTTTATTCTCTAAAAAAACAATCTTCCAGAAGCACTTCGTACATCAAATGTATAAGGATTACCTTTTTGTTTGAGTTGCAATCCCCAAACGTAGACTTTAATTTTTCCCACAGCAAGTAGAGGCAGCACATACATTAGCCGTCCCGGACCGATCCAGGCACAACACAGCGACTGCCGTCTGTGTGGCTGTAATGAATACGAGCTAACAATGCGCTGTTAGTTGCCGAAGAAACCCGGACAGATCGTAGCATACATCACCGAGTATCACTCCATATACTGGGCTCAACATTTGTTTCCTGTTTTGTGACTCTCAAGTCTATCGCGTAAGTAAATGACTGCTAGCGTTAAGCTAACATGCTAAGAGCAACTGGGGACAAGCTACGTTGCTAACGACGCTAGCGTTAGCTCGCAACGTATAGTGCCAACGGTGGTTGCTTTCTGCGTTGACTGGAATAATGCAACACTGGTCAAATTATGCTCAATACGTTGCCCTTTATCTTCTTTTCTGCTTTTTTAAATATCTGCTAAATGATATTGTAAAAATATCTACAAACTAGGAAGTCTGTGCGATGATTGTTAACGCTAGCGAAGTACATCATTCCTGATCTGAATTGAGCCGATCGATAATACGAGTGATATTTGTGGCTGTAGCTGTTTAATATTAACATTTAAGGTTTTGAAAAAAAAAACTAAATAACTAACGCGTTTGATGTGTAACCTGCTGCCACCAGGCCTGTGCTGTGATTTTAAGATTTACTGATCTCATCCTAGAGCTTGTTTGTGATCTTGAGCCGAGGTTGACTCCCTTAAGCCGCCCTTTGCTGTAACATTACTGCTGCTGGCTGAGAGTCAATATCGGCATCCATATCTAGCTAGGTTCATACGAGCCACAGGTAAATCACAGGTGATTCAAAACATAACCTTTAACGCTTTCGCTTTGGTTTGATGTATATAAACGCTGTTTTATGATCCCACCATGGCCCCTCTTTGTATTTTAGTCCATTAAAAATCTGCAAAAAGTAATCTACAAACTACTTTTCTAAACAGTTCTTTGCACTTGTATCATTTGCACGGTGGCAGGAACCCAAGCATGGAAAGGCAGGGCTGGGCATATTAGTTACATGGACAGTATGCATTGCCACCACCAGATAATATGATACTGCAGTAGTTGAAGACTTCTTAATCTTGGTATGAGTGAACAGCTGTATGAGTGTTTCAGCAGCACCCATGGGTCCCTGCTTTCTCAGCATCCAGCAGACATTGTAATTGAGTCAGGAATAAACAGATCTTTTTGCTGCCCCATGGTGTTTTAGGCGTTAAAGAGTGCATGTTCTTTAAAATGTAGTGTTTCTGTAAAGATATCACGTTCTGTGTGTTTGCTGAGCTTGTCAGAAAATAGCTCTCTGCTACTTACAGGCCTGATAGTGACCTTTTTTACGTGTCAATAATCAACCACAACCAAAAACCCCTGAGCCATGTGATCAGCAGCAGCAAGCCTCATGTCAGCATTTTAAAATGGAAGAGCTCACATACAGAAAAGACTTGTTTATAACATGTAATTATAGAGTTAATGGAAAATGTGCTGACCCTGCTGCTGTGTCTTGTGTATTTCCAGTTTATAGACAGCTATGGGTGGGCTGGGAAACGGCCGTCGTGGAGGAAGATCACCCCCTCTGATGATTGGCGCTCTCATCGCCTGTATCCTGGTTCTGGGCTTTAACTACTGGGTATCCAGCTCCCGCAACCTGGAGCTACAGGTAGGTTAATCAACATGTGTTTATGTGTTCACGTGTTCACGTGTGAGTGTTTTTGTGGCTTTTTTTAGTGGACAATGCAAATACCAGCTTCTGACTTGCACCATTTGCCACCGTTCACCACTCACACGCTGTTGTACTGATGTAAAAGGTTCTTAATGCCTGACTTTGTTGATGCAGATCTGCACTACCTATGCATGGTTCTCTTTTGCAGAAGTTAGACCTCATTAGTTCCCCATTTGGTTCTCAGGGTTTCAGGGTTTTTGGTCATAGGAAGGTCTTTTTTCACATTTTGTAATTTCCTATTGCATCCTTTTTTTTAATGCAAGTCACTTAAGGCGTGTGTGTGTAATTCAGACGAAGCTGTACGAGTTGGAAGGCCAGGTGCGACGTGGAGCAGCGGAGCGAGGAGTAGCAGAGTTGAAGAAGACTGAGTTCCAGGAGGAGATCCAGAGACAGAAGGAGCAGATAAGCCACATAGAAAGTCTCTACAAGAGACAGCTGGAAGGAGCCCAGAACACCTGCAGCCAAGAGAAGGTGCACACAAACTGCACGTAAAACTGCTGTCAATAAACTAGTCACAGAGGAATTTGGGGGCACTAAAAGAGCAGAGACAGGGACTTCATCATTGTTGTGTTTCACACTAATTATGAAGAGAAAAAGTGACACAAACTGAAAAGCAATTGTGTTGAGTGTTGAGGTTTTTTTTTTTTCTAGGGCACACTGCAGCAGAACATTTCCTCCAGTACCAAAACCATACAGGAACTTAAAGGTGAAAAATTGTTAACATTTTACCTCTATTTCACTAAAATGGCGTTGTGTTAAAAGCCAACAGAGTTCTGTTTATATAAAAAATTAATATAATTCAGTTCTTATGTTTTGTTTGTGTCTGTACTCTAGGCCAGTTGAATCAGCTAAACGATGACCTGGGGAAGCTTCAGAAGGAGCTGCAGAGTTGCCAAGGCAGCATCAAAACCCTTAACAGCAAGCTCACATATGACATGTAAGTAAAAAGATGGTAGTAAGCTTCAGCTGTATCACATGCACTCGAACTGCCATTGCTGTTCTAAATTGCCAGTGAATATATTTCAGCCTTCCTGGTAAACATGTATGTGTGTGTTTGTACACATGTGTAGGACCCATTGTCAGTCCCAGGTCCTGTCCCAGAAGGAGTTGTGTGATGAGAGAGTGGCCGCTGCTAAACTTGAAGTTCAGAAGAAAATGGAGAAGCTCATCCCTCCTCCAGCTGTTTCCTCACGGGTAACCATGAACCATGGGAAAGGATCTAAACCATGATTACTCCAGAGTCTTTTTACGGGATCTAGATCAGGGAAAAGGTCCAAGTCCAGTTGTTAATTATCTACTATAAATGATGATGTTTGCTCCTCGGCAGGAAAATGCAGTGGATGGAGTAGAAAAAGATGACAGACCAGTCGTGACTGGGGTTGATGCAGTAAAAACATCAACTGCTGTAAGCCACACACCAAGCGAAAATGAACCACCGGAACTACTGACCAATGAGATCATCGTGGACAATGGTAAAAGACAAGGATGTTCGGGTGCCTTCGTCTATTTAACTGAAATTTATCACATGAAAGCTGCAGTGACACAAATATTTAGGTATGTGTATGTGAGATTGTACATATCTCTATCCTTTTACACACTTTCCCTTGCTTTCTGCCCTTTTTCTCAGCTCCTGATGCCCCAGTAGACCTGCTTCCAGAGAAGGATCTCTCCAAAGTCGAGTCCCAGTCTCTTCCAGCTTCAGCTGCTGCAGTCAAGCAGGACATTTTGCTACCACCAGAGGGAGCTGTCACAACCGACGAGGGTGAGGCAGACACCAGTAAACTGTTGAACAACAATCTAACCGAGGAGAAAGAGATGGGACTGATGGATGCTCATGAAGAGGGCCCTCAGACAGACGGTAAAGAGCTCACCTTTTATTTATCAGACAATCAAACGCATTGAACACACGAGTAGTTGAGTTTCAAACTGGTTTTCCTACCTTACATTTTCTTCCCTGCATGTCTAATGTGACACAAATGAACCTTTAAGAGCACATCATCAGTTGCAGAATGGGGCTTCATTCACTGATAGCCTGAACGATATCCTACACAGCATAAAACAACTGTAGTGCTACCTCACTGGCACAGTTTTAACACACAGTGAGGCATATGAAGCTTCACCAGACCTCCAGACCAATGAATACACAATGATTCACTGGTTTGAGGGTTAATGGTTGTTAATACAAAGTTTTCCCTATGGCCTACACAACCTACACGTTTACATCTTAATGTTACTTGGAAATGCTTTTAACCTACATTTAAAATTTAAATGTAAAGTAGGTATGTACAGAATTAGTAGTTGATCGATTGTCATTCACACCCTTGTGTCGAAGTAAACAATAACATAACTGAGAGAGCGTGCCAACTCATATCCATGTGGTAGGTTACTCCTGTCCCAGCATTCTCAGTGAAGAGGTGATGAATTGTTAATAAAATGTAAACAACAATTTGGTCATTTGGTCTCCAGAGGCAGACCCTGGGATGGAAGGCATGCTGGTTGGCCAGGTGAAGGCAGATGAGTCTCTTATTGATCAGAAACTTGAGGAGCAAGATGAATATGACGATCAAGTAGTGGGTAGAGTCGATTCGGAAAAACCACAGCAGAGTAAACGGCCTGAAAATATGGGTATGTGTGTACTACTCTACTACTAGTGTATATAGATTAAAACTGAAAAAGTGTGTGTATATAAAGAGATAAAATGGGAGAGCGAGTACATTCTCAGTCTTCACTTTTGGGTGTTATTTAAGTGCCTATGACCATTAGAAGCCAGAGCTAAAGTTTGATAGTTATTAATAATTGAATTGTGCTAAAAAGGCATTTGTGTGAGTTTCATGTCAATAACCACATTGTACTTTCTGATAGACAAGGACATGGAGGACGAGCTGGCTGACTATAACGGGGATGATGAGAACGAAGGCGAGTTTGAAGCCGACAAACAAGCCGAGCTTGCTCGAACCTAAGGTACGCACTACCTGCAGCTAAATAGGCCGTACAGCATCACAGCATCATGAAGTTAAAGTCTGCCCCCCACAGGTGACTGATTGGAACTCCACAAAATAATGTTGTATTGTTATTATTATGGTCTTATTTTACTTGAGAAGATTAAATTAAATAACTATTGAAAAAGCATTTGGCACAAGTTTGTAGCAACCTTTATTGCCATTTTTGCCTTGAAAGCGTTGGCACTGTCACCGCTATATGAAAGGACCAGTGTGTAGGAATAAGTGGCGTCTAGTGGTGAAGTTGCAGGTTGTAACCAACTGTAACCACTTGACTTGACGAGCCCAAAGAAGAAACTAGTGTATCCATGAAAAACGCAAAAATGCCCTATTGGGTCCCAGGGTTTGGTTCCAAATATGGACCGTTTAATAGAAAATATAAACACAGATTTGAGTTATTAACACAAATTTGAATTTTTCTTGCAGGGCTGGAGTTGGAGCAGCAGCCCACACACCACATTAGGAAGCAGGACCTGTTATACACCTCAGCACAGCAGGTTAATGCAGCCTCCCAAACACAATGAACACAAACAACAAACCCGGATGGAAATTTCTTTAAGAAAGACTTGTGACATCCGGTTTGGCCGTTACTTTCATAAGCATTTGCTTCTTGGAATGTCTTTTAGGTGTCATCGTAATTGTATTCTGTGCATTTGGTTTGATTACATGTTTATCAGTTGAAAGTGTCACGTTTTCTGTAGTCGTGTAAGAATATTTACAGCTTCATATCCAATTCACAATATTCTGAAAGAGCCACAAAAAGTTAAATATGCAAATGTCAGCTCAGTATGTACTCTCATGTTTTCCATCCACACCGTGTACATAAAGCCCAGAGGTGTGTTTACTGTGGTTCATTTCAGTATGTTGAGGTGATATGAAGGCACCTTCAAAGTACTTTTATAGCACCTGCTTAGTTCGTAGTTCTTCATACTCATACAAACTCTTCATCTCTACGTCTCAAGACTTGACACCATTTGGCTTGAAATATTGTACATCTCAACATGCCTGGAAATCAGTAGATTTTGATTATGTGATTAGATGTGTTGTGTATGTTCACTCTGTAATGACTATAACTTAAATGCAGCATAAGTGATGATAACGTGCAAACCCTTATAGGGTTATGAGGTTTGAAATACTGAATTATCCCAATGAGAGAGCTCGTCATGCAGCACAGACATCTTCTCTTCCACAGGTTCAACAGCATCTGAAACAATGCCTTAATTTACTATTGTACAGTCTCTCCTAGGGCCAGGACATTTTGCTCTACAAAAATACATATGAGGCTTTCCGTAACTGCAGCAAGTTAAAGGAACGTACCGAGATTCTTGTTAGACTGCTGAGTCCAATTGTGATGCTAAACAGCAGCTTCTCTTGATTCCCATGTAGCCAAAAATGCTGTAAAAAGCAAGGTGGGCTTAATAGACGTGCCACATAACAAGCAGGCAAATACACCTCCTGGATTAGACTTTGCCAGGTTTTAAACATACTATATTATAATAATTATATTATAATTGCTGTAACAATGAGCAATAATTTCTGAAGTCTCAGTTTGTCGAATGGCTTTTGGTATTTCAGTGGCAGCAAGCCTTTTATTCTCAGCTGTATTTGGGATCAGTGTCACAAGCAGACGATGCGTGCTGCGCTCAACATTTGGGATCAGTAAGACAGAATGTTTAGAGTTACAGTTTTAGATTATAATGAAGGGAATAGGTTGGACCATCCGGATATTTGCAGATAAACAATCTTATTTTGTTTTGATGCATGCCTTATCAGTTGTGCGTACACCAGTTTCCCCCTACAGTCCGTTGTTTCAGAGGTCACATGTTGAGCTCAGAGTTTTGTGGATGCTGCCTCTGCTGAATTGAACGGACTGTATGTTTTGTGGAAAACGTGGAGAGGGATTTTTTGGGGGAATTGCTGTAACATTATGAAGGACATTCCCTTGAAGCAGGAACAGTGCGTTCAGCCAGTAGATGTGAATTATTCAGTAGTGCTAAAATAGTATTAGTCCATCCAACTTGAAGCTGCACTAGACTGGAAATTGTGTGGATGAGCGCAAACACAAACTAATATTAGATATCAGAAATAATGAAAAGTTTGTTATATTTTGTGGCGGGATCTTTTTTTTTTTGCCTTGTGTTTTATACAGGACAGATGATTTATGTTATTTTCCACGTACTGTAAATTGTGACTTTGACTAACACCCACAGTAACTCAGTACGTTGTAGTGCAATGCCATAATTTCCATAATGCTTTGACTTCTTAACGCAGAATCATGTAGTGGAAAGTTATCTTCCTAGACTCTTTTTATTTGCCTATCTGAACTCTGTCTCCGTGTGATTACACTAGGTAGTTCAAATGCAATGTGCGTTATACTCTCCATGTACAGTTCACCTCACCTGCCTGAAACAAAGACAGGTGTGCAGGAGAGAACTGAAATTTTATAACTCCAAAGGATATCTTGTCTATTTAAATTCTTTTAACATCTGTGGCTGCTTAGCCACAGTTAAGTACGTTTCCCGACAGATGCTGAATTTTAGTGAAATGTCTCTTCGATGATAAAATGCACCGCACCTATAAAGTTCCCCCAATGATGATAAAGGTTCAGCCATACATTCAGAATATATGGATTTACTCTGTCATACATTTTGACAGATTTTGTGTCTTTTTACACTTTTGAAGCACACAGAGAATAACAACAGGAACATTGTAGAGTTGAATAATTTGACTGCTGCTCTCATTATAAGCTTCATATTTACAAAAACACGATTCTACAGGCGTCATCAAACTTTTCATTCTTATTTTGTGTCAGCTCTTCAAAACAAGTGACTTTATCTTTTCACCAAAAAGGCAAAATCAGATGGTGTAGTACACTCTTTTAAATGCGTTTCCTTATAAACTCGTTATGTTTTGATACTTTAGAGACTTTGAGGACTTGGACTGGAATTTAAAATGAGTTACGTGATGAAGAGTCGGTAACATTTCAGTACATCAGGTAACTTTTCCTTTCAGGAACACAAATAAAATATTCTAAACATTTTCCGATTTAAAATTTCAATTTCAAATCTAATTTCTCATCCTAAGTCGTATCAATTTTGTTAACTTATTTTTTATTTATGTTATATTTTTTAAACGGGGCCTGGTCATCATGTTTTAAAATAACCATACAAATCTGGAATCTGACTGCTGGTGGCAGGTTAATTGTCTCCCTTTTGGTTGATCTTGCAGGGGAACTACTACTGTTGCTGAGATTTACATTTTTTTTGTATTATTGTATTATTTTCAAAGTTGTCGTTTGTTGTCGGTTTTGTTGCCTGACTCTGCAGAGCTCGTCCGAGCTACAGCTTTGTTTTGTCAGAATGCTTTGTCTGCCTATTTGTATAAAAAGTCCCATTTTCTGAACTAGGAGTCTGTATACCTGAAGAGAAAATGTTAATGAAAATGAAATGATTTTTATAAATTGGATTCTCTTTTCTTTTTTTGATTTCATATGTTTGTATTTTATTTTGAACTGCTGAACAAATTTGTGAAAGGTTTAAATAATCATAGGATTTATTGATGATAGAAAATAAAAAATGTTTTATTACCACTATCAAGACATGGTTTGACATGGGACTTATTGTTTGGTGTGAGCATTACTTGTGATACATTTTAAAAAACATAAAATAAAACAGGGGTAAAGGGTATACCCTCCGCAGTACACACTGTAATAGTAACATAAAACAGTTAGCTGCAAGCACACACACAGTGTTCACAAGCCTTTAAGAGAACATGTTTTATGCATGCAGCTTGACTAGCTTGAAGATAAATTTCAACAGATAAGCAAATAAACCAGTGAACAGTAAAATAAAATGATTTGGTTCCAAAACCGAGATATCTCTCTCCACATGTGACCGTTGATGTTGATATCAGAATATTCAAAATACTGCCCACACTCAAAGACATGAACAGAATAGATCTCGCCATTGTCACAGGTACGACGAAATTTAAAGTGCTCTCCAGTCAGTGCATCATTCATAGAAAAAAAAAAGAAATATAAAATAAATAATTTAAGTGCTAGTGTTAACTAACAAAATAAGTAGAAACATATAACATCATTAGCAGCATACATAGACACACATAGTCATACACACACAGTCATTGCATAAAAACAGTATGAACATTCATCTGCAGGCATGCATACCATCTGTCCTTGCATTGATCCATTTAATATCCATATTGCACATTATTTTTTTGCAGCATTGAGGGTAGTTATTGCAGTTGGATAACAACTGTGTTTGGGTCTATTTGTCCTTGCTTTAATTGATCTGTACCACCTGCCTGAAGGCAACAGTTCAAACAGGGAGTGGCCAGGATGGTGAGTGTCCTTTATGGAACTGTGTAGTTCTTCCAGTGTGGGGAGAGGGCAGCTGACAATCTTTTGAGCGATGTTGATGACCCTCTGGACTCTGGAGCACTTTCCTCTGAGCCGCTGTGCAGCTGGTGTACCATACGCATATGCAGTATGTTAGTATGCTCTCAATGGAGGCACGGTAAAAGGACACCATCAGTCTTTGTGTGATGTTATTCCTCCTGAGTATTCTCAGGAAGTACAGTCTCTGCTGGAAAGGTCCTCCTTGATATGGACTCCCAGGAAGCGGAAGTCTGCCACCCTCTCCACACATTCCCCGCTGATCATTAATGGTGGGATCTCTGTTTTATTTCTCCTGTAGTCTATGATGAGTTCTTTGGTCTTTGAGGTGTTGAAGAGCAGGTTGTTGTCCCTGCACCATGTTGACAGCCGCTCCACCTCATCTCTGTAGGCAGACTTCAGACTCGCCCTCCCCCCTGGAGATGAGCCCCACCACTGTGGTGTCATCTGCAAACTTCACCATGGTGTTGCTGTGATGGACAGGGGAGCAGTCGTATGTGTAGAGGTAGTAGAGCAAGGGACTCAGTCAGCACACAGCCCTGGGGAGAGCCGGTACTGAGGCTTAAGGCCGTTGATGTGTGATGGCCCACTCTGACCCTCTGTCTGCGGTCGGAGAGGAAGCTATTGATCCACATGCAGATGGTGTGTGGAAGCCAGCGTGTGCCTCAACTCATGCTCCTCAATTGTGAGGTTGGCGCTGCTGTGGGCCGAGTGGTGTAGTGGTGCCGTCTCTGGTGCTGTGACCTCGAAGCGGGCAAAGAAGATGTTCAGCTCCTCTGCCAGCGCGAGGTCACCTTCAGCAGCTCCGAGGTTGGATCTGTAGTTGGTCAGATGCTGAACTCCCTGCCACACTTGCCTGCTGTTGTTGCCGCTCAGGTGGTCCTCTATCCTCCTCCTGTAGTCTGCCTTGGCCTCTCTGATGCTCCTCTTCAGGTTGGCTCGGGCTGTGCTGTAGAGTTCTTTGTTGCCGGACCTCCAGGCGGTGTTCCTCTCCCTTAACAGCTGCTGGACCAGGGCTTTTGGTTGGGGTAGACCCGGGTGCGTTTGTCCACTGTGACAGTGTCTATGCAGTTCTTAATGTAGCACAGAACACTATCTGTGAACACTTCCAGATCCTGATGTTCAAAGACCCCCCAGTTGGTCCTCTCAAAGCAGTCCTGTAGCTGCTGGGAGGCACCCTCTGGCCATGTGGCAACAGTCTTTGTGATGGCGGGAGCAGTTTTCCTGATTGAACTGACTGATGATTGAAATCCCCTGCTATGATATTCACGGCATCAGGGTACGTGCTCTGTGTATTGGTAATGCTAGCATGCAAAAGTCAGATAGCTGAGCTAGTATTAGCATCCGGTGGGATGTAAACAGCCGTTATCTGTCTACAGTCGCTGTGTTGGTACACCAGCTGTTGTTCACGTACACCAGCTGTTGTTCACGTACACACAGAGCCCCCCTCCTCTGCTCTTACCGGAGTCCACTCTGACTCTGAAGAGGGCACAGGCTCAATGATAAAATTGTATGTTGATTTAGGTTTTATAATTAATTTCTTACTATTGAACATAAACAGTTTCTGTCATAAAAAAGTTTAAATACAAAATCAATGGCTTGTTATTCAGGCTTTAATCACAGATGTATTACATATACAGTTTACATATTTAGTTGTAATTCCAAGTTGACTGTCAGTGAGTTGATTCACAAGTTAAACTGTGAAATATTTCTGTGTGGTCTTTAAGGACAGATCGTCCAAACACTGTACTTTTTTCACACAGCACTACCCCGGGGTTCTACAGTGATACAATGTTCATTCTTACATTAAGACCTGATCATATTGCTTTAAGACAAAGTCAAACATTGAAGGAAAAAGCAAAAGAGATATGTATATGCTGTGCAGAGGAGGGCAGACTATCCTGTGTGTTTTGTGCTGAGTGTGTACAGTCAGTCAGGGGAAGCAGCTGTCAGAACAAAATAAATACAGATGGGGATAAAATATAAAATATATTAGGGATGCACAATAACTTTTTTTTTAAACCAATACCAATAACCGATAACTTTCAGCTCCTAAAGGCTGATACCGATAACACACACACATACATAATATATATGATCATGACCGAAGATCATGACATTAATACAATGAACAAACCCCAAAACACTTTTGTTTTTAAATGTTTAAATTTAAATATTGATATTTATTTTTTCCAATGAAAAACTATTGGCAAGCCTCTCAAAAAATAAATAAAGGCCCCTTGAACTGATGCAAATACATGCAGCGGGATTACAAACTGAAAAAGTGTATTCCAGAAGTTCAAAAAAATAAATATATATGAAAAAATTAATGCACTGACACAAGTTAGATTTAAACATTTCTATGTAAACACAATCTGAAAAAGTGCATTCCTCAATAACAATAAATAAAATGTGCATAATGCACTGACACAAGTTACAGTGCATTCCATAGTAACAAAAAACTAAGTTTGAATGATTTTGGCTTATGGTTCCATTCAAATGAATACCTTTTCACTAAAGTAAATGAGGTTCAGTTGTTTTACAGAGAGAGAGAGAGAAGAGAGAGAGAGAGAGAGAGAGAGAGAGAGAGAGAGAGAGAGAGCATTGTCAACCATAGCCATGTGCGCACCAGAGCCAATCACTGCAGAGCCCACCCCCCACGACACACCACGCTGATCTAACGTTATACCTGCAGCGGGTTTTGCCGGCTGTTCGGTCCCGTTCTGTGCATGTAAATTTAATGTTGTGGATTACTGACACTGAACGAGTCCGGACCGAGTCTGTTCCGGTCTGAGGAGATCCGGATAGGTGAGGACAACAAACTGGAATCGGAATCTGTGGATGTTCGTCTGTGGCGAGCTGCTGCACCTTCAAACACAACCTCATTTGGCCATCCATGAAAAAGCTACTGAACCTCCCACTTTTCTACAGCAACACATACTTCCTACGGGCACTGCACTAGTTTGTTACAAATAACAAGCGACCTGTGTTCTTCAGAAACTTTGCAAAAGTCCCACACAATCGACGCTGTGCTGCATTCACGGTGTAACGGAAATTCCCTGTTCCCATATTTGGTAGTCGTTCTTTCGGCCTTGTTAAGTTCGTGTTTCTATTGTTTATGTGTAACATGTGGAAAAATACTGTGGATCTCAATTCAAGTCAGCAACTACCAAAATTATGACCGAGATAACGAGTTTTTTTTCCGACATGAGGGGGTATTCTTGAATTTTCCCAGTCAGAAAGAGTTTTTCTGATTATGCCAACGTCACTTGAACACAGCATTCACTTCAGGCCATTCAGGTCTCACAGTGAGAGTGGGGCATATACAAAATTATATATGCTATCGGGGCTATTCGTCATGGTATCGGATTTATCGGAATGACGTAATAATTTCCTGTTATCGGCCCGATAACTGTCGTGCACCCCTAAAATATATGAATATTTTATAAGGAGTATGGCCTAGACCTGCTCTATATGTGAATGTCTTGAGATAACTGCTGTTATGATTTGGCGCTCTGGAAGAAATCACTATAAAAATGAAGAAGTATTGATAAAAATGTAGAAGTAAAGAATTTGAGAAAAAAGAAAGGGACACAATATACATGTACATACATATATAAATAATAATCTATATACATATACATACAAGCCTGTCTAATAATAGTAACTATATAATGACAAAATAATTATTATTACCATTATTGTTGGCACCCTCAATCAAATGTCATACAAGACCTGTAAGAACTTGTTAAATTTCATTCCCATTAATACCAAACTAATTTTTTTGTTGTTTTTAGTATGATGCAAAAAAAAACTCCAGAGGAATTGGTGATCTATAGTGTTAACCAATTTCATGTAACACATTAACTGCATTAAACAATGTATTGACAGGCTATTGTTAGTTTCATTTTCAATGTAAAAAGAAAGACATATACACATATATGTATCAGCCTATACTAACGCTGGAAGATTTTAAATAAAACGTCTGGAAAATAATCGTTATTAAAACAAAGATGCTGGCTCTTACAGTTCAAAGCAATTCATACGTGGTTAAAGATGAAAAAAGTCCTTTATCTTTGTACCAGTCTTCTCCTTGTTCCACCCTCACAGTTCATTCGATTGCCATATTAGGTATATAATGAAAGTCCACTGGGAGGGTGCCGAGGGCCTCCTGTAGCTTTGTAACTCGCCCGTAGTGTCAGCCAATAGGAGAAAAGTGATAAATCTGATGCTCACTATAAAAAGGTGAAGCATCACGACAGTCAGCCACCTGAAAAGATCTACTCTTGATCAGAGGGACCATGAAGTGGCTCTGCTTTGCCCTGGTTTTTGTGCTCGCTGGTAAGTTTTTCCAACCTCCAACTACAATGCACTAAGATTTTTATTCATTCTTGCATGTAATGGTCTGACAGATGTCCCGTAAAAGTTTACCCATGTGAAACCATTTATGAGCCTGAACTTGTACAGTATGCACAGCGTCTGCTCTCCTTCCATTTGTCAGGTGTTGCATCAGGCGCCATTGAGAAGAGGATTGTTGGGGGTACATCCTGTGACAAGAACAGGCAGTACCATGTCCAGATTGAGACTTTACAGGGCGGGAAGTTCTGTGGAGGCTCTCTGCTCAACACCCGCTGGATCATCACTGCTTCTCACTGTGCAGAACAGTAAGAAACATCCTCACTCCATCCTACACGATGCAGTTTTGATGTGTTCTCGTCTGAGTGATTCAAAAGTGGTTCACTTCTGTATCAGTACTGTAGAATAATGACGGGAAATTGGTATCGTTCTAAATCGGTGCTAAAATGTAGGTGTAACATAGATTACTGATTTACACAAGTTAAAGTAATATTACAGCTGTCCATAGAGGCAAAGGCACCATTAAGAAAGTTGCATCAGGTATTCAAAGGAAAATAATACAAAATGAAATCAACCAATTAATAGTTGAATCATTTGAATGCATTGTTTTTTTTTTTTTTATCATTTTGCATAATTATATCTCCTGACTATACATTTTCCTTCTCCTTTGTTCTGCAGACGTGTGAAAGTGAAGATTGGCTCAAACAATGACGTCTCATTTTTTAAAAAAGCATGGTCTTTCTTGAAAGGATCATCCAAAAAACTTCAGCAAGAAATTAATATTGACCAACAGTTTACCTTCAAGGATGAGGAGGAGCATGTCCATGACATCATGCTCATTAAATTAAAAGAGGATGTATCTGCTAAACTCCCCACTATCGATTTACCTCCTGTTGAGTGTAGCAGACCAGATAAGGGTCAGCAGGTCCAGATCGGAGGCTGGGGATACAAGAAACGTGAGCAACACACTAAGTCACTGCATTCAGGTTATGAAATTAGAAGTCATTTTTTCTGATGCATTGTTTTAAAATCCTCAGAGGACAAAATCCCCAGCAGTCTGAAGTGTGCCAACACACAAGTGACTGACTGTGGTGAGGAGGATAAACCTGATAGCAAATACCACAGTGATGAAACTACCACCATGTGTGCCTTTAAAGCCGGCGTGGAGTCCTGCTTTGTAAGCATACAGTTCATATTTTTTATCATCAAACTTTGCGATTGTGACAAATGTGAAATAAGGACACCTCTGATTTCTTTTTTCCAGGGTGACGCAGGTTCGGCTGTGGAGTATAACAATGTTTTACACGGGATTATTGTCAGCGACCCCCCTGATAAGTGTGCAAACACAATTGTAATGTTGGATATCTGTCGCTACAGGGAGTGGATTGAGAAAACCCTGCGGGAAAAGTGAGAGTAAGGCTTGGAGGTTAATACAGAAATCACACATGTACTTAAAATATCTCCTATCTTTTCATTTATTATCATAATCACCTGCCTTATTAACCTCATTTCATGTTAAAGTAGTTTGTTTTGGAATAAAACTGAAATGATTAGGAGTGAATTCCAATTTGGTTACACTGGTTTAGTACTTTACATTAGGCGTGTAAAAGGAAATGTATTTTACTACCTTCCGATTGTGGGTTATATTAGAGTACTCATTTTCTTCTATGAATAAAAATGTGTGACCTCCACCTCTGTTCATTTGTTATCTCTTCACCGTGTATTTGAATGTCAAATGACTGATTTCCAGAGGAGTTTGCCTACTTTCAAATTCTGGTCGTACTTTCACTTCACAAGGGACATGGGTACAGCCATACAGTATATAAAGAACAGAGCAACTTTCTCCTTGTACTCTACCACGGCTTAGTTCCACTTCAGACTACACACTATTATTTTATTCTAGTACCCACAATTCATAAATGTCCCTCTTTGTCACTGTTGACTTATAATGGTGTGTATCTCAATACATCTGGATTACCATAAAACTTAGGCAGGCATCTATATGGCACAAATAATATCAATTTATATCAAATTGATCACTTAAACCAGTATGAATATTACTTGTGTAAAAAATAGGCTGCTGAATAATATATCCATTACAAATAATTAATTTAATCATTACTGTGGTGCTCATGGTTTCTGTAAAATGAACTAACTGATCTAACGATGTGCAGCATGGCCATATTAAAAATCTATTGAAAAGGTTTTTCACTTTGGATTTTGAACTATAAATTAAATTATAAACAGATTTTATTGTCTGAAAACTGAAAATTATTTCTCCAGCAAGTAATTATGACAGGATATTAATTGATACCACAGTAAAAGATGGGTTTTATTGTGTTCTCGATATATGTGAAGGCTGCAGCTTTTCAGTCTTGAGTTGCTGGTGATGCTTTGAAAAAGCAGCGCAGTTGGTTCACTGGCCCAGAAAGTATCTCCGCTGTATAAGTATCTCTAAAATGAAACTGAATTGCCTTCATATGAAACTGGTGCTCTACAAGGTATGACAAGATACTGTAGTCTTTTCAGGATCAACATTTTCATTCAGATAAGCACATAAATACATAGAAAGGTTTCATATGTTTGAATGATATGCACCCGTTATCATTACAGCTGTTCTGTCATAAGACTGTTCTGGAGGCAGCTTATAAAAATTTCCATTGGCCAGTTCTTAGAGCAAAAAGCACCTTGACTTGTGACTCTCATGCGGACACGCACAGACACGCACACACACGCACGCACACGCACGCACGCCCACACACACGCACACACACACACACAGATGTGGATATTGTCACTCATATAGGTCCAGTTGTGTGTTGAGTCTGGTTTCTCGTGTCACATCTTTCATTCAAGTGAAAAAAAGAATCGGGTGTGTCAAACACTCCTTTACATAACTTTACAGTAAGGTGTATCACACACATTGTTCAGACAATGACTGGATCAGGGCAATTGCACACTTGTTCAGGTGAGGGTACGGTGTTTACAGCTGACGGTCTTCATATCAACTTGTGGTGCGGAGCAGAATCAGATAATCTTGACCACAGGAAAGTACTTGTGAGCTGAGAAGTCAAATTCTGGGAGCACCTGGAGATGAAGACAAAAGTTTCCACAATATAAAACAGCAACCCCATCACAATGCATGTCAATTAAACACCACCATATAGGCATTACCCATTTTTTAGACATTTCATTTCAGGACTGGAATCTTTTTCCTTTGTGTGGCAGCTTAACACAACTTATAGAGCTACATAAAAGTTGCTAATTTGTATTAATTATATCCACAGAATTAAATGACAATCCAGGGAATGTGTATATTGCATTACCTTGGTCTCCTTCTTGTGGCCTCCAGCCAGGAGCTTCATGACTACAATGTTGGGCTTGGCCACCTTCAGTATACGGTTCACCTGTTATCAATCATTATAGATAGACAAGAACATTGGAAAAGGTCAAAATTACCATTTAAATTTTAAATCTTTTCAGGAATAGATTTTTAGTAAATGAACATCTAACCAACATAAAACACTAAATTGCTTTCTTTGGCATTTACTTCATAATAGTAACATTTTCCTGACCTCAGGGTCTGGGCTGGGCACATTTTCTAGGATGAGCTTGGCCTGCTGGAAGTGTTTGCTGGCGGCCAGATAGAGGTCAGCGGAGCCTGGCGGAGGATTGTACTTCTTCAGATCAGACATCTCCTGGAGAGGAAAACAAGGGCGAATTCAGGGAGAGCAGGAAAACTGGAGTGCAAAAAGGAAATGACTCACAATAGAAAGATAAAAGCCGGTGACAAGAATATGATGGAGGAGAAAGGACAAGAATAACGTGAAGAGTTTGCTCCAGTACCTTGAACTGGATGTAGTGCACGGGTGGGGGGGTTACCACGCTGTTGAAGGGGGCGAAACGATGCTCGTAGCGAACCTGCTCACTGTCCAACTCAAACTGAGGCTTACGCACCTTCCCGTCCATATCCAAAGCTACCATAGTCTGAGGAGAGGGACACAGGCAGGGAGAGGATGGACAATAATGCAGTGTGTGTGTCAAACAGAAGGAAGAAGATTTGTCTAAAGTGCGTCTGTACTGATGTCCTACCTTGTACATGCCAGCACACATGTTCTGGTATGCTTGACTCATTGTAATCTCCTTGCTGAGAGGACGAACTGCAGAACAAACCCAAACTTATTAATATGACAAGCACCTACAGGGAGATCACACTTTTTTTTTTTATCCGTATGATGTGGTCATACTCTAAGAATCAACCTCACTCACGGACGCAATGATAGAGCATACCTTTTTTCTTCTTCTTGGTCTTTTTGCTGCTGCGTCCTTTCAGCTGCTCCTCAAGAATCCGCTCCTCTGCCATCTGAGAGGAGTCTGCTCTGCTCAGAGTGGACATCAGCCACGCGTACAGGAACTCTGACAGGTACCTACAGTCGAAAATAATTTATATATTCATTCACAGATAAAAACAAAGTGCACCTGTAGAGAGATCTGGTTGCATGTGTCTGGAACTGGGAGTTTGTGCCTACCAGTTAGAGCCAGCAACAAACCAACGTGTGCGCTCTCACCAGTAGATGTAGTAGTACTCATGCATGCTGTACAGCTCCAGTTCAAAGCCACTAAGCAGGTACTGGATCATTATCCGCAGGTTATGGTAGAGGATCCAGGTGCCGAGGCAGGCTAGATGCTGTCGCTGAGGCTCAAGTTTCATCAGCAAGCTATGCAGGGCTGCATCCACCTTCTCTGCCTGCAGGGCGCAAAGAAGATAATTTAGTAGTTGGTCTATATATTATGAAATCACAACTCAGAGTGGTTGAAAGAAAACCACAAAGAGATGAGGCGCAACAGGTTCATTAATATACAACTAAAGCTTTCCGATTGCGTATTATCTCTGCCTGACTTGTGAAGCGCAAAAAATGCAAACACAGTGGTGTTGCGCTTAATCGGAAAGAAAAACGAGGAATACAACAGAGGAAACTGCTGCAGTTCACCTCATCCTGCAATGTGGCAAACTCCTCAAGTATGTGACCCAGCTTGTCTCTCTGCCGAGCTCGGTTGTGTCCGTGGATCTGGATCAGACTGCAGAATGGCTGTAGGGAGAAAATAAAACCCAGAAAAATAAACACAGACGTTCTAAAACTTTCAGTGTTAAAATATGAACAAATCCTTTAATAAGAGAACTAAAAACATCCTGTGTTCTCCTTACACCTCACTAGATTTCACACCTCTTTTTTGAGATGGTAATTTTACAAACCGGTATCTCCTCCTTAACTATTAATTTTTTAATTCTACTCAAACAGACTTATGCTGAAGTGAAAGCAGACCAACTGAGGTGTACAGTAGAGGTAACATACCCTAGAGCAGTGTGTAACAAAGGAGTCAATGTAGTCCTTGGCCTGGTGGTTGTTAAACAGACAACACCTGGGAGAGAGAGAGAGAGACAGACAGACAGACAGACAGACAGACAGACAGACAGACAGACAGACACACACACACACACACACACACACGGAGAAAATAAGCTCACTCATGAGAATATACATATTATGTGTTTACACACAAAAAAACAAAGGTCCAAATCAACCAATTAATAAATAAATAACTTAAAGAGTCACATGGCATTAAATGATTCACAATGTTAAGGGTTAAAACATTTAACCAATGACAGACTTACTTGTAGGAGAGGACAGGTGGGCTGACGAAGTATCTAAGAGCATCTTTAATCATGTCCTGCATCAGGTGGGTCCCAAACACTTTCTTATTATCTATCAGGAACGTTGTCTGGATTTAGGAAAACAAGCTGTTTAGCTCTTATACACTGGGTTTTAAACTGATACGTTTTAACGATAAGAATATATGATATCGTCTAAGAGTTTTATTTACCGTTCATGTATGTTAACTTATAAAAGCTGTACGCAAATTTCAAGTAATCTCTCTTTAGGCCTCAAAAATAAAGCAGTGACTCAAAACTTAAATTATTAACTCACTTGAAGAAGAGATCTGGAGAGCACGCAGGGAGACTGCTCACTGAACTCACAGAAGAAGTCCTGATAAAACCACAAACACAATATGAATATGCCTTTATCACTGAAATAGCTAATTATTAATCATTTCTGGTTCAGAATGTAAAGAAAAGATCTTAAAATGTGTGTTTACCAGTATGCCATGCAGGTTGGTGGTGTTGATCACGTCACAGACGGTCTTGATGCGTTCTATGAGTTTGCCAAAGTAGGCCACCATGTCCTCCCTCTTTATGATCTTGGCATAGCGAGGAAAGGTAGGTGGCAGCAGTCTCTGGTTTACCAGGGGCTCAAAGCCCATCATGATGGGATGGTCTGCAGCACACAGCACAGCAAGGTTAACACAGGTCACATTTTAATTATAAAGTAATCTCCTCTAAGAGGCTGTGTCAGCTTAATGTAGCAGAGTGAAAGAGAGTGTAAGATAAGAATTAACTATTACGTTTTCTTTCTTTCTTTTTTAGCTGTGTGTGTGTCTTTCTGAGGTAGAGGAGTCACATTTTTGTCTAGGTTGCCATGAGGACTACATAACTGGCTCGATGGATGAGCAAGAATGCGTAATATATGCAGAGTTGCATGCATGTAAGGTTAAAAGGTCTGTGTATTTGAGTGTGTGTAGTCCTTTAGAGCTGCTGGTAACGCATGCCAAGCCAAAGTGTGTGTGCTTGACTCCACAGCTGAAAAGCATGTGTGTGTGTGAGTGTGTGTTACCTCCTTTGGTAGTATCATTCTGGGACTGGATGCCATGCTGAATACTGGAATGAATAGCTGATAAGAGGTCAGCTGCCTGAGCCACAAGCTTCTGGGCCTCGCCAACCGAGCTGGTCTGATAAAAAAGATACGACCATAAACAAAACAAAAACTAATGAAAGCAAATGACGAAGATACTTTAATACAATCCTCTTCACTGCTTGGTATCAAGCAGAGGAACACTTTAAAATCCACTCATTATTAATGTATTATGTCTGATTGTGTGTGTTTGTATGTGTGTTACCTCTTTCTTGGTGAAGGTGATCAGTGCAGTCAGTAGAAGGCGAGTGAACTTGATTCTATTGAAAAGTGCCAAAAATTGCTGATGCTGGAAAAAATTAAGTATGAGACCATTAAACTGGCTTTCATGTACATGCAAAGCTATTAATACACATTTCCAAATTTGTCTTTGAATCACAAAGGTTTTGTTTTGACCACCCAGACAAAGTCCATTTTTAGGTCTGATTTTTTTTCTTTTCTTCCTTTAGTATTATTTTTATTACAGTAAATTCCAGAGTAGAGTCTCAAAAGGTCATTTGAGTCCCACACACTGATAGACAGATGGAAAACAAATTATAACAGGCAGAGACTGAGAAGAAGGGTTCAAGGTTTAGTTTGTGGCTGAAATGTTGGAATAGTAGGTTTAATTATTAAAGAGCAGCGACAGTGATTTGCTACATGTAGTCCTATGTATTTTATGTTGAAAACAGACGTCAGAAACAACTAGTTTTCAGCTTTCAGGTAGTCTACACGCTATTCCAATAATATGCATTTTAACAAAACGTACCTCCAGCTCAACCTCCGGGTTTCGCTGTTCACCCTGTCGACTGCGCGTGCTCTGACGCCGCAGGAGAGAATAAACAATAAACAATGTAACACTCAGCATTTCTATCAGTCATATTTCACTGATATTGCAAAGATTGTGACTTAGAACAAATACCTTAACTTTCCTCTGCAACTCATCCTCCACATCTTTCAGCATACCTGGTAGGAAGAACAAATGAGCTTGTTACTCTGACCCAACAGTATTAATATATAATGGTTGTTCACAGTATACATGAAGCTGCAGACTTGATGAACTATCACAATACAGTACCTGTCACCCGCAGGTCTGTGACATTATTGGCCATCTTGAAGCCATAGGTCATGGCCTGGAAATCCTCCTACAGTCAAATATGAGGTTAGACACTGAGTTACCAATGGCCAATTGCAACTCTCCTTAAAATAAAATAATACCAGTGGGCAGAGCAGATAAGTCATGATAAAATTGACCCACAGGGAATGTGAAAATGTGTGTAATAAATAAAATATTGCCTCATAAAATAACGGCTCCCATCAATTTTATTGCAGTATCACAGATGCACACACATACACTGACAGCAAGTAGAGAGTTGCTTACCTCCTCAAACACAGCAGCTTTGTTGACCTTCTCTCTGGCGATGTCACACACCTTAAGGATGCCCAGGGCGAAGGCTTTAAGGGCTGGCTCCTCAATCAGGTCGGGGTTATGCACGTACAGACAGGTGAACACAGTCTGCGCCAGGGAGTGTCCCTCTAGCCAAGTTATCTAGAATAATACACACAAACATGCACACACTGGGTTTCACTACAAATTGGTTTGCCATAGTGATAAGTCAATATAAAACAGCTATAAAGTTTGTATGTATGAATTAAAACATGTAAAATGTCATATTTGTATTCTCCTGTAAAGAAAGAAAACATCTTAAATTCCCAGCGACTTGCCAAGAGGCTTTTCTGTGAAAGAAGAAGGTGAAAACTCACCAAACAGCAGAAACATGTGTCTATGATCCCAATGAGTTCAGGAAGACTAAGGTCTTTCACCTTGATGGCACCTTCCTACAACAAACACAAGAGAGTGAGTAATACAAATGACTCAGAACTTGATGGTTAATTATACTGTTTTTATCACAAAACTAACTCAACTGGACAATGCAGTCAGAGTTTTTTAAATTCCTGAGTGGCACTGTACCTTGATGGCTTGTTCAAAGTTGAGCACTTTCCTGTTGACCTGGTTTCCAATCATTCCTGCATCCATCTTAGGATCCATCATCTCTATGGCTGACATGGCCTCAAACAGGCCAAACCTGCCACCAGAGCAGGATGTTTAGTATCTGTTTTGTATGCGTGTTTACAAAGGTTCAACAAATATTGGATTTTGAAGACCAATACCAATGCGGATATTTGGGGACTGATCCAATAGCTGATGCAGATATCAGTATCCCACATGGTCATACCAAACAATTACATGGATTTTGTGTTTTACAGCAATTACTCTGTCTTGTCAATACTTTGAAACAGAATTTATACTTTGGGAAATGAAAACTCTACTGAAATCAATGGTAATCAGTTTTTTGGCTGGCTGACTGATTATTTCATCGAACTGACCCTTTAAAATGTGAGTTTGCAAAAGACTTTTTTTTCCTACTTACAGTTTGTCATGAAGCAACTCTCCAAGGTTCAACTCTGCATAAATAAAGGATGAGGACAAGGAAAGAGAAAAAGAGGAACACGTCAGTCCCTTTCATAACTGCACGCCACACACACACACACACACACACACACACACACATTACTGAAAGAGCCTGTACCTTTGCATGCGCCCTTGAATTCATGTGTAATATCAACCCAGTTGGCATTGTTCTTCATCTTTTCTGGGATGCCCAGCCCCCAGCCAGCATCATCATCCTCGACTGCTGACTTCATCACCATGGTGACTACTAAAGAGAAACACAAAGAGAAACGTTCATTTATTCACACAATTTAATAATAATCAGACATTTTTCCTTAGCATAGCAGGAACTGCACAGGTGTAACTAATAACATTAATAATAGCTCTCTCTCTCTCTCTCTCTCTCTCTCTCTCTCGCCATGACAGCACAACTAGCATAACTCCAAAACTGGCACACCTAACTTGAATGGAGCAGTTATTTATGTTATTAATTTAACCTGTGTTTTAGAAGTCAAACTGACCACTGAAAGAAAACTCTATGAGACAATACATCTTGCGTATGATATAAGTGAAAATCGGCTTAAGTGATAGGTCACAGTGATTTGATCCAATGAAGACCCTCTCGTCTCGTAGCACTGCAGTGTGTTAAGTCGGTTGTCTTTTACATATTCATAAAAAATACACATTTCCATCCACGTGATGCAATCATTTACTACATTTCTTCACCGTCTCAGTGGACATTTCAAAGGTTAGTTGGCAAACAATCTGCTGACCGTTTAAAGCTGTTTATATCTTTGTATGTACACTGAACAGCTGTGGACGTTGTAACCCAGTGTGGTTCACTGTAGTAACGTTTTAAAGGCACAGTCACAAATATAATTTTTTGCTTCCCGGCATTCTCCATGGCATCCAAACACCACGCAAAAACATTACATATTAAATCCAACAGGCAACACTGTGTCATATTTAAGGTGAGAATAAACTTAGATTTATTTCCTAGAGGTTGCTCTATGTTCTTAGAAACTTTTAGTCATTAATGCTTATATTTAACCTTGTCCTCGAAAGTTGGACAGGTTGTATTATAATGATCTAGGGCAGTAGAGGATTAACATCATGCTCTCTGAACTGACTTGAGAGGCTTAAATTAGAGCCTAAAAAGGTGTAGATTGCACGCTTGAGTACACTGGAAAGCCTCAGCCTTTTAAACCCAGAACATGTCAGTACTGTGAGAGCTAAGTGGGATTTAAAGAAAAAAAAAAAAACCCTATCCCTTTCTGTAAGGCTGATTTATTAACCTTGAACTGATTCATGGGTGTATATTTACATTATAATGTTTAAAGCACAAATATCAGTTCTACAAATAAATGTTGATTGAGGTTTAAGTTGCATATTGATCTTAGAGCATATACACATTTTACCTGAACACAAGCAAGTAAAATAATCACAGGTTAAAAAAAGAAAGTGATGTATTTCCTCCAGTCTGTTATTAGGAGGAATCTCACTGAGAGAAAGACAACTCAGCTAACAGTTAAATGTCAAATAAATACACTAAAATAACAATATTTCTACTTATCTCAGTTAACCTAAATGTGTACGGTTTACAAAAACGTACTTAAACACTCAAAGCAGCTCAGGTTACTCATGCATGGTACTCATATAGATATATATATAGGACATGTTAGCTGTCACGTCAAAGTAGCTTGCAATACCGTGTGCTAACAGGCTAATGTTGCCCACAATGGATGTTTCCTGTGAACAAAACCAGATCTTCGTGAATTTAACAGATTCTTCAATTTGACCAGGTGTACAAAAAAAAAACACGAGTACAATTATAAGAAAGTCATATTTTCGTTCTGGATCAGCACCTACCTCAGTATTTTGTTATAACCATGTAGCTAATAAAGATCTCCTGAGAGAGAGTAAAGATCGGCGCATAAATTGTACGTCATCGGCCACTGTCAGTCTGGGAGTTGTAGTCCTGAGTGGACGCGAGACACCAGACAGCTTAAACGCTTCAAAACGTGTGCAGGGTAGGTCTAAATGTATATTGTTGTCATATGTTGGTGAAGATTAAGATGCACTTGGCTCTTTCGGGACCTTTCCACCCTCGAGTACCCCACACACACACACACACACACACACACACACACACACACACAGACGTACTCTCGCGTTGTTACCCCCTCTGACAGCTGGGGCTGGTCTCATCACAACATCATCGGGGCGTTTCAGGCAACGCTCAGACACACAGCAGCAGTTCCTCCTCTTATCTTGGAATTGGTCCTCTCTGAAGGGGACAACAGCTCCTTTCCGTACAGGTTCGTAAAATCCTCCTCTTTGTTTTTATTACACGAGTCTACCGCGTCAGCTAACACCGCCTGTGTGCTCTTTGTGCAGCTTTATTGTTAGCATTTCCCTCTGTTAGCTAGCCGTGCTGTCGCAGACATGGGGCCGTCAATGAGTGACTAGTCCAGCAGGTGCAGCGGACACCAGCCTCAGCGACGTTATCTGACTTAGCATCTTGTAAAAGAGCCTTGCCTTGCTGCTGTTCCTCGCTAACAATAGCCAAAACCCAATTTCCCTGCAGGCTGGTGTTATGACAGCAACTTATCTTAATGTCTTCTAAATGGATTTTGGATTGTGGTTTGTGGAAGCAGGCAGCACTGTGGGGGTCATTGTGGGGCAGGCCACCATCTGTCCCATGTAAGCTCTCAACAACATGTCAGCTGTATCTGATAGACTATCGTAGAAGACTTTAAGGTCTCACCGGTAGCTGCATACATGCTCCTCCTCAACCCAAACATACCAAGGCGTTAGCTCATATGCTCAGGTGTGTCTAGTAAGATGGGGGGTGGATTTTGTAGTCTGACTTTGCGATATTTGGAAATAGCAAGGAGTTAAGGTTGGCCAGCTTAGTTAAAAAACTCATTTTTAATTGAAAAAGACTTTAAACTTCTTATTGTGTGTTGTTATTTTGGGGGATTTTAACTGTATTGTGTTTTATTGGTTACATTTTTTAATAAGTCATTGTGATTTTAAGCACATTATAACTATGTTATAAGTGTATAGTCTTTATCTGACACTAGTGATGTTGACTGATGGCTTTAAACTTTACAGCAGCATTGTTTATGACTCATCTTATCTCAACCCATTAATGCTCCTGTATTCACTGTGACATAATCTAAGCTCTTGGGAAGACCTGTGAAAATGAAATGCACTGAGCTCTTTCTGTACTAACTTGGTAGATGTTTTTTTTTTCTTCCTGTTTTGAATTAAGTTTTGTTGTCATTTGATGTAATGCAGCTGTGCTCTAGTATTGCTTCTTTTCTTTTTTTCAAACCCTGTGTTCAAATTACCTTGTCTACAGATCTTTTGTCTCTAGACATTTGAGATCTGCAGCATGTAGGGCAGCCCTTTTTGTTTTGTGTAAAATCAGTCAGGAGATTGTCAGTTCTGGTACAGTCAATATGAGCCATCTACCTGCAGCAGGTGGCTGTCCCAGCACTCACTGCGAGGCAGGTACGCCCTGGACAGGTCACAAGTTTGTTACAGGGCTAACATATGTGGACAAATCCACACATTCCCCCAGCCATGGGCATTTTAGATTTGTCATCATCTGGTTTTTGGCATAGTTGCAGGGCTGACTAGAGCCTGCTACTGCAACAGAGGGAGTTCAATAGGATCTCTTTTGGCACACAGAGCCAGAGGTTGATTATGCTCATTTCTAAAATTGTACAGAATGTTTATTATCTTGTTTTTTTTTTTTTTTTTTGTCAGTGAGGTCTGTATTTTCTTTCTCTTGCAGATGACATGAAATGTTGATGTGGTAAAAAATGAACAAACCCAAAATGGCCACAGAGAAAGGGTGAGTTGTTTTTCTATTTGGAGACAAACAAATATAATTTCATATGCATACACACACACACACACACACACACACACACACACACACACACACACACACACAGCAACGCCTGCATGTGTGTGTGTGTGTGTGTGTGTGTGTCTGTGGGAACGCTGCTCTGTCACAGCCATCTGTTCACAAATTCACTCTTTCCCTCACTAAGTGCTTACCTTTACACTCCCTGATGTGATCCTGTTCTTGTGTTATTCTACCCTTTCTAACTGTCTCTGCACCAGTGTTTGTCCCTGCTGCTTTATCTTAGTGTTGTACTGTCTATGTGGGAAAGAGAGTGTGTTTGTGTGGCCTTGCTTGAACCCTTTCCATATGCATTTGTCATGATGACCTAATCTTGAATTCTGTGCAAACAGGCGTGGAAAAAAAACCTTTCGGTGTGTTGTCCTTATCAAGTATGTGTATTATAATTTGTTGAATTTATAGTTAACCTGTGTGACTCATGCAGGGTGTTTATTTAGGCTTTACTTCTCCTTCAATATGTTTTCCTTTGCCCATACTTCATTCATACCTTCATTCTTGCCATTTTTTTCACTTTTTTCTTTTTCTGTCTCAGCATACACACTCTGTCTCTCTCTGTCTTTATAAGGACATATGAGAAACTCAGCTCGACTGAGTGCAATCACAGAGTTTTTGATTCTCTCTCCCATGTTTGCCGTTGCTGTACCAACAACTGACCTCTCACCTTGTGTTTCCAGCTGAGCGCCACTGTGCTAAGGTTATAAATGGGGGATGGGTCACTCTCCCAGGAATAGTGAATCCCTAGGAGACTGCCTCAGTGTTTGAAACGTTGCCAATTTGTTATTTTTCTTTTAGCTCTGCACTATATTACAGAAAATGCTATTTTGGTTGGTTATTACTCTGTTTTTGGCCAAGACACATTTGACTTCTCTGTGGGCATGTAAGGGCATTCTTGCGTGTGAGGGGCTGCTTTATATTTGTTCTCCAGTGTCCCAATGCTAGATTCTAAGACTTACTTGTGTGATAAAACTGATCCGTCTTTCTCTATAGGAGGAAATCTCCTGATTTCCATCTGATGTGTTTTGTAAATGCAGCTTTGTGACACATTACGCTGCGTGATACTGATCTCTGCCCTTTCCAGAAGGACTTGAATATGCAATGTTTTATTTGTTATTTATTAATCCTTCCTCCACATGCTTACACAGGAATGCATTTATAAATTAAGTTACATACATTCCTGTTACATATAGTAGCCATTCACCCACTGGTGGGCCTCAGGGTGCCAACTAGGGGGCCACAGAGGTAGTGACAAACGTTTTCCTTGGAAACTTTTTAACAATCAGAAGTTAGTATTAAGTTATAAAAGGTTCAAAAACTCCTAATATACAACCTTCCAAAATGTAAAAATGTGTGTGTTTGTGTGCGTTCCCAGTGTTCCCAGTACCTCCAGGGTCCTGATGCTCCTGGGCCAGCTGGAGAGGATGAATGGAGAGGCCATGGTGAGGGATGTCGAAATGGCAAGACAGGTCACTGCAAAGATACTTCATCTCATACAGACGCAGGGTGAGAGCAAACACACACACACACACACACACACACACACACACACACACACACACACACACACACACACACACACACACACAAAACAGGCTATCGAATGTACCCAAACTGAAACAAGATGAGACAAAATCAAAAATGTTGCATGTATTTATGTTTTTGTTCAGAGACCAAGGGGTAGTATATAGTGATGTGGCTCTTGGTACTTGCCACATGAAGCCTTAAACTGCATTGTACCCCATACCGGCATAATAATAATGCATTGTAATATGTTAATCTTAGTCGAAATGCAATATACAATAAAATAGAAGGTTAGACACACTAACATCTCCGCTCCACTCACACACTCATCTCCAAAAAGTATGCTGTAATCCACACTATATACGTGGAGCACTGATGGTTTCAGGCTGATATTGGCTAACCTACGTGGTATCAAGGACAGACACTGATAGGCACAGATAGTCTGCCTGTTTATTCAAAAGAGAGTACTCCACGGATTTATTATGGACAGCAAAAACAGATATATCGTCCTTTTTATTTCACACATTATTCTTCATTGTTAAAACCACGCACCTACATTATCCACAATACAACGTGACTGACAACACTTCAGTCAGAGATTCGGGTGTGTTATGCCAGCAGCGGCTAATGTAGCTTCGAGCCGCGAGACTCAAGCAGAGATAAGGAGCAGGCTATACTGGACTGGTAAGCTGACTTCTTTTGAACTCCATATTCCCAGAGCAGACTTGTAGTCTTCAGCCCCAAACAACACGTGAAGTGATACCACTTGAGGCAATTTGTCAGACTTTGCTGAGCTCCCTCTGGAGCCACAAAAGGCTGTAGTACTCCCCAACAGCTGTAAATTGACTGATGTGTCCAGTCGACGGAGTTTCCATTTAAAATGTCTTGATGCAAAGCTTTAGCTTGTCAGGTTGAGTAGATCAATTCATTAAAAATGTGTTCAGTGCGGTCGCTGTGTAAATAGAGATGGGGTAGCGCACCGGTAGTCAAAGTGTGGATGGATTAATAGTGTCTCCCGATCTGCTTCTCTGATTACTCTTTGAAAGGAGAGCAGAGAAGAAGATCTGACATCAGAAGAGGAAGGCTTTGTGCCGTGTCTTTGTGTAGAACAGACTGCAACATGAGATAACTGGAAATGTAAGCATCGATGCTCCATTACTTTTACAATTAGTTAATTAATTGATTCATCAAACTGATTTATTTTTTTTGGATACTTAATGGTTGAGCGCTGCAAATAACAATTATTTTCATTATTGATTAAGCTGTCGGTCATTGTCTCAAAGCCCAAGATGACGTCCTAAAAATGTCTTGTTTTGCCCACAACCCAAAGATATTCAGTCATGGGGAACTAAATAAACCAGAAAATATTTACATTTGAGAAGCTGTAATCAGAAGATTTTAATTAAAAACAATTAATCAATTATCAAAATAGTTTAAAAGTTGATAATTAATTGACTAATCAGTGCAGCTCTGCTATCCTGATGTCATTTATCAGGAAAAAAGGTCAAACATTCTCTGGTTACAACTTCTTAGTTTTACATCATTGTAAATTGAATTAACAAAACAAGCTGTTCTCAGAAATGTTGATGTTTATTTATGCAACTTTAGGACATTTTATAGACTATTAATCGATTAATCACTTATTTGAAAAACAAATCTAATATTGATACATTAATCGCTAATAAAAATATTTGATTCTTGCAGCTGTTGGTTAATCGAGATACAAATTGTGGTTTTGTCTTTCTGACTGAAAGGAAGAGTGAGTGAGTGAGCGGTGTCATTACAGGCCATTGTTGGAGCCCAGCTTCATTACTGGAGATTTAACCTGTTTGCGTATGTGGATGCTAACCCACAGACTCCGTATTTGTTTGCAGCTCTTAAGTATACCTTGCCATGGAGCTAGTAGGTTTCAGTTAGTGCTCTTTTCAGTGTGGATTTTATTAGCGAGGACAACCTGTAATCACTTGACTCAAGCTTTAGTGGGGTCTTTGTGTGAAGGGACAGTGTGGGGTGAAGAATTCTGCTGAATCATTACCGAGTAGTTCTGAGCCTGCTGGCAACTTTTGAACTTGCTTTGAACTTCTTCCTTCTCACTTGAATTTTGTCGTCCCTCTGGCCATAATTTGTTGCTTCCTCTGACTTCAAAGGAAAGTCAGAGTTAATCCATCATGACTGATGGACACAGTGGAAAGGCCCTGTGACCCTGTCAATCATGATATATCAGCTGTTCCTCTCTCATCTACTGCTTGGCTCTCCGTCACATTTTGCCTGCAGCGTCAACTGGAAATGTGTATGAGTGTGACGTTGGTTTAAGGGGTAAGTAGGGGGTCTGTAACCCTGTTCACAGTAACTATACACCCTAGGACGGACTTTGCTGTACTCTGTCTCATATTCACAGTCTTAGGAGATTAGGAAGAAAGTCAAGAGAAACCAAGAGAAAGGATGATAGAGAGAAAGGAGTTGCAAGTTGAACTCGATACTTGAAATATATAAAAACAATAAAAAACGGTCCACAAGCAATAAGAGTTTTGGTTTGGTTTAGTAGAGAATTAATTTAATCTTAGAGGCTGCAGTTCTCTTTTTTTTATTGCTCATTTGCTGCCAGAAACTGTTTTAATTTTAGTATGGCAGATCTCCTTTTCCTCACGGTGCTGAGTAGGGGGGTCAGGAGAAAGGGGAGAGGACGTGTGAGGAGCGGTATCCTATACAGTCAGTTTTCTATAGGGGCAGTTGGTGGTTTAGTTTCTGGTCGTGTGCAAGGGGAGATGCTGATTACTGGGTTCATAGAGTCTTTCACCTAAGCTCAGTGTGTTGGCACACAGTTGGAGGATTGATCGGTTAAACAGTTTATTTAGAGGGATAGAGAAAGTGCCTTAACGCTTCATATAGAATATCAAACTCTTAAGCGTCTAGGTTCACAGTAGACCTGTGCCGTCAGTCCACCTGTGATTCTGGAAATTTGACTAGAGAGTTTTGGTGACCTTGTGAGATCTTTGTTATGAAATGGAGTACCGCTACACCAGGAGATACTGTCAATCTGTGGTCTCCCCAGACCTACCAGGTACGTCCCAGAATGCTGAAAATATACTGAAAAAATATTTCATGTATTTCAACTGGTTGAAGTAAGCTTATATAGATTTTCACATATCTTAGCATTATCTATGATGGCAATTAAAGGAGCATTCAAACATATTTCACTTCTCTCGGGTCAAGTGAGTACGGGAAGTGAGATTAGGACAACCACTCTGACTTTTACAACCTCCACAGTTCATGTACTGTACTTTTAGCAGTCAATTTGAGCTAACAAATAACTAATAATCACTAGAAAAGTCATAAATGATGGGTTTTAAATTCTAAGGCAATATCTACAGGTCATTGTGCAGATCACAATTAGCTGGCACAATCTGCCATCATAAAGGTTCATTCTTATTAGAATCCACCTTTTTACAAGCAAAATAAAATCACTGCAGTTGTACAATGCAGTAAATAGATAGAAATTGCATCAAATAATTATCGCTTATTATATTTTTTCCAGTGATGCTCTCTTGTGTAATCCCTCATGCTTTTGTTTTTGAGGATTAGTGTTGAAATGCCACTTGTTTTGAAGAGCTTTAAAAAGTCTGGCATGAAAGAAATGTTTAAGAGGTCACCGCTCTCCAAAGCACTGAAGTGTGTGCGTGTCTGTGTGTTCACATGCTCAGATATGCACATAGCTTTGCCCGTCTGGAAAGTGTGTGTGTGTGTGTGTGTGTGTGTGTGTGTGTGTGTGTGTGTGTGTGTGTGTGTGTGTGTGTGTGTGTGTGTGTGTGTGTGTGTGTGTGACAACATCAGTTGTGTTTCCACTGTGTAGGGGAACTTCAATATGCTCTTTGGTGCAAGATCATCAATTATGAAAGTTGCACGGTTACACCCTTTCCACATTCACCTGCTGTTATGAAGCGTTCTTATTCAGTGACACTGTCTACTGCACAGACACATGAACCCTTCATGTGTGTAAGATCATCACCAGGTGATATAACTCTCCAATTGTGCCATTGAGTGAGCATGCTTCTGCCACAAACTGCTGCCGCACAAGAAGTCAGACTTCCCTGTTAATATGAAAGTAAAATCTATAATTTATAATCCTGTGTAAAATTCAACGTTGGCTTGAATAAGTCATTTTTAAAAAGGCTGGAGGACTTTCTCAGTCCTGTGTTTGCTTTGAGAGCTTGCATTTGTCTCAGGACATAAACAGGACAGGACCACCTCCTGGAATGTGTCAGCTCCTAAATTACAGGGCAAGCATTGGGTACGGTTCAGAGGTGGGGAAAGAGAGGAATAAAAGTGAACAAAACCAAACTATATGTTGTCTTGTTAAGTAGGACAGTAAAGCACATCATTTGATAAAATGTAAAACTGTGCTTTAAAGATACAGTATCTAAATATATATTGTGAAATGCAGTAGAATCTTTCAAACTACAAATAACGCAGGACAGTTGTCTTTTCACATTCCAAGATAATCCTCTGTGACATTGTGACTGGTGTTTGTTGGTTGACCGGACATATGGGACAGCCTGCTGTACTTGGAATAACTCAGTTGTTTTGCACAAGTTGCCACACAGTTTGTCTTCACATTTTTGATGATTGTTATTTTGTTGTGTGTTACAGAGAAGAGTGGAAAAGAGGTGATGTCCAAAGGCTCCAGTGGCATGGAGGTCATCCTGGCTTCACTGGAGGTCAGCTCACTTATCAACCCAACTGAATCTAACAGTTTTTAAACTTGAAGCTTTAGCATTAAGCTGCCTCTCTTTGTGCTAAGCTAAGGTTTACCAGCTGCTGGTGGTAGCTAAACATTTAAATACAGACTTGGGAGTAGTATCAATCCTCTCGTCTAACTCTGAGCAAGAAAGCAAATAAGTGTATAATAGGTGTGTCAAACTATTTCTTTCAGAATGTGTATTTTCCTCCCTTTGTGAGATACATGATGTGAGCTTTGGCAGAGTAAAACATTGCATGTAGAGACATAAACAATGCATCTATTCATTTGTATGAACAGCTGTGGGAAACCCTGCTGTGGATGTCACAGTGATGAATTGTTTGATCCTAGATTAAACTGCACACCCAGGACAGATAACATATATATATATATATATATATATCCTGTATATTGTTTTATGTGTGTCTCTGACAGAACACCCGGGATGTCCAGACCACTCTGAACATTTTGTACATTCTCAGTGAGCTGCTGACTGTGGGTGAGTTTTTTAAATTCAAAATTGATGAGCAGTTCCTGCCTTGATTTTTGGGAACTGATAATAGCATTTAATTACTTGCTGAATAATCACTTAGTGGGCAATTTAACTGTCATTTCTAATTTAGAAGGTAGGGTACATCCAAAGTGCTCACTTTTTCATGAGTGTGAGAAGTATTTAACATATTATAAAAGCTTAAACAATACATTGTGCCACTTTAATAACTGTAAAGGTGGCACATTGTAAATCTAGCTGGGACTGTTTAAGTGTTTTACAGGATTTCATTACCTTAAGGCAATATTTTCTTCTGGCCATGTTGTGTTGATCCCATCAGGATTTATGCAGTTGTATTGGTTGTTTTTTGTCTTAGGCAGAGGTCGTAGGGTGGGAGTATTTGTGTCTAAAGGAGGAACGGGGATATTGTTCCAGATTTTGATCACTGCCAGTAAAGAGTTGCCTCCGAGTGAGGAACTCATGCTGCAACTTCACTCACTGCTGGCCAAGGTTGGCCCAAAAGGTAGGCTTAATGTCGCAGTGTCACACAAACACATAGTACACCAATATACACAGCTTGTTGTTGTCTGTGCTCTCCTCATTTGAATTTGTTATATGTCAAAAATATCATGTCACTCATGTCAATTTAAGTTTGGTTATTGGTGCCCTGTTGAGTTTTCTTGTTAACAAATAAAAATTAAGTTTATATTCTGTATTTCTCACCAGAATACATTGTAGGTTGAGGTCTAACATTTTAAGTGCATTTGTTCCACATTACACATTTACAAAGCAAATTTAAACAAATTATGCATGTAAGCACCATCCGTGTCTGTGAATAATGCAAACAGTGCCCTTTTGCACTACTAGTGGTCAAAAACTCTACAGGGTGTGCTTAAGACTGTATTGTTATTCAGTGCTTTGCAAAAGAGACAAAAAAACAGAAAATCTGATTATTCTCTGCACAATCCCTGATATTTCAACCTCTATGTGTTCAGACAGAAAGTTTGGGGTGAAGGCACGTTTGAGCGGAGCTCTGAACGTCACCGTCAACTTAATGAAACAGAACATACAGAACATCAAACTGCTTCTGCCCTGTCTGCAGGTGCTCAGAGTTTACTCTACCAACTGTAAGTCATTGTAAACTTTGAAATACACTTCCCAAATTGTTGCATTTCTGTCTTTTTCTGGAATTAGAGCAGATTATCCCAAGAAATACAACAGCATCTAAAACTAATAAAAATCTGTGAATTATATCAGCACTGTTAACTATTCAGTGGCATTTTATATCTACCTGATACTGTATGCCCTCATTGCTGTGTGCATTTTTGTTCAGCGGTGAATGCTATTTCTTTGGGAAAGAACGGAGTGGTGGAACTCATGTTCAAGATCGTTGCGCCGTACAGCAAAAAGAACACCAGCCTGCTCAAGTAAGCGGTAGATTGTGTTAATGAGCCAGCATGACAATCTAGTGACATCCACAGGCTTTACCTCTTTCGGGCCGAGTTTTTTAACATCTGTCATTGACGTTTGTTCAGCAGACCATGTAACCCATTTGCCTTGTTTCTAAATCAACAGGGTAGCTCTGGACGCACTGGGAGCACTGCTCAAATCCAGTGAGTAATTTGCTTTGTAGCATTGACTTTTGACTCTTCAATAGTGCAGTGATCCTTCCTTATTAATCTTTGCGTCCATGCAGTATTGCCCCCTTCTGCTTCTCTCACCTCCATCATCATTTAAGCCTTTGCTGTAGACAGTAAATGATCATTCGACTTGGGTTTCAAGTTACCTTACCCCCAACTTTCTTCTCTCATGCTTCTCTGCATCCCATCCCACAGTCATGAAGTAAAAATGATCAGTGCTTTTTCTCCTCCCTCTTACACTTCCCTGTGCAGAAACTAATGCCCGCCGTGCAGTGGATGGTGGACATGTGCCTATCTTGCTAGCTGTCTACCTGGACTGGCACCGCAATGACACGCGTCATCGCCACATGCTGATTCGCAAAGGGCTGCTCGTCTGCCTCAGGAACATCACCAACATCAAGCTTGGCCGGAAAGCATTTGTAGAGGCTGATGGCATGAGGGTCCTCTACAACTCATCCACTGTGAGTGAGAGTGAGACATACACATGGCAAATAATTAAAGCGTGCAACACATATGTACTGTACACACACGCACTCTCATCTGCTCTCTACTTTCTGTCTGGTTTTATTTCTAGGAGTGTCTCCCAGTCCGGACTCTGGATCCTCTGATCAACACTTCCAGTCTCATCATGAGGAAGTGTTTTCCTAAGAACCGTCTGCCTCTGCCCACCATCAAATCGGCCTTCCACTATCAGCTGCCACATGTCCCCGCTGTAGGGCCTGTGGCACAGCTGTACAGCCAGCCACCTGGGGGTGAGAACACAGGACGCACTGACAAACACACACACATACACTTCACTAGAGTGTGCCCCAGCTTATCACAGTGTATGTGTGCACCTTTCATTGAGGAGTATGCAATAGGGACAGACACTTAGACTTTTTTTATCGCTTCTAGATTAAATTCTACATAACACAGTCAGACACATAAATAATGATTATATCCCTGGAACGACTAAATGGTTACTGGCAACACTCTTGACACTGCTGCACACAATGTGCCTTACAGGAAGAAAAGTTCATCAGCTCTGCAACAAGCCCTTAAAGAAGGGTAAGACGTACGTAAGACGCAACTCCATCCTCAGAATGCTTTCTCATTCACCTCACATCGTACTCTAACTTCACTAAACTGATACATCACATGTGTTAGTAATAAAGGTGTAATAAAGATGCTTAGTGCACATTGCTTGGTGCTTGCTTTCTCACTAGTTAGACTTATGTACTTGCACTGTACTCACCTAATTTGCTTCCTTGCGTTCACAGGCTGTCTGGTAAAATATCTGAGCTCTTCCCTCAGTCTGATCTAAAAGAAAACATGTCCAATCAAAAACGTATTTTTCATGTAGCACTATAGGTTGAATCTTCTCAATGTACATATGAGTTAATTTCCTCCTTTAATGTTTTGCGGAGTGCAAAAACAGGAACTCCAAAAAAAGCACTGAGGACAATTTTGACAGCTCTAATTGGCAAAACCCGAGTAATTGCCTCAAAGTCATGTTGACTAATTAATATTCCCAAAAACATGTCGCTGATGTCAGTTACCCAACCATGGAGAACAGTGTAATGTAACAAGCTACTGCTACTACATAGACTTGTCAGTAAGATCATAAGGTCCATGTGTTTGAAGAAATATACTAAAAATTTCTTCTGTCCTTCAAATCTCTCACTCATTGCTGGATCATGGCTGCTCACATCTTTTGCTAACATTTTCTCTCTTCCTGTCATTGCAATGAGACTCAATTACCAAAAACAGTTGAGTTCTACCAGTCTGGTTGTGTGCCAGCCTTACACACACTTTGGGAAACTCCCAGCGTATAAGGTATGTTTGTTGTAAGGACAGTCACCTAATAACATCCTTGTGTGTGTGCCAGTGGATGACGTTGTGGACGAAAGTGACGATAACGAGGAGACAGACGCAGACACAGAGAACGATACTGAGAACGAAGAGGATGAGAAGGATCAGCGCTCTGCGGTAATACTCAGCACTCACATACACATGACAACATTATATATTATGTTTTTTTCTGTTTGATAGTGTTGTTACAGAGACAGATATCTTAAACATTTTTACATCATGACTGAACTTCACTCACGGTCGTGATGTATAATATAATCGGCCCTAATTGGCTAAAGGATATTAATTCACAAATAGGCCATTTGGTTAAAGAAACACAACTTTACTAAACATTTAATGTAACAATAATAATTATATTGGGTCATCATATAGTTTTATGTGAAGCTGATGTTGATGCAATCTAATTGCACTCCTTCACATTTCCAGCAGAGGGCAGTCATAAGACACTCACCAGACAGTGCCAAACACTCTCCTATCACTATGTCAAACATGTCAACCATGTCTGATATGCATTTACAATTCCAGATTTAATCCAAATATTTTCTCCCCGGGGGGGGGGTTACAAATCCAGAGGAGGCACTCAGAGTTTCCAAGCACCACAAAATCCCCCTAAAATGAAAGCAAAATAATAAGTGGTTGGTTTTTGGTGTCTTTATACAAGACTCATACTTTTGTTATTTTCTCATTAGCTGCAGTTCTTTTTTACTTGTTTTCTCCATCTCATAATCCTTGAGACTTGAGCAATGGCTCAGCTACACCCAGACAGCCCACAGTCTGATGGTTACCAGTTGTGTTTCCTCTCTTTTTAATCATCAGAATGACGACATAGAGACGGACCTAAACAAGCTACATCCCAAAAAGAACCCTGGACGTCCTTTTGAGGAGTTGAGAGTCTATGAGAGGTTCTTCTTGGAGCTTTCTGAAGACTTCCAGGTCAGTATTTTGTGCACATGTGGATAAGATTTAACAGTGGAAAGCAAAATGACCAAAACGTCACTGTCTTAAATTGATTTAAGCTAATTGGTGTATTAAAAGTATGTGACAGTACAAGACTGTTCAGTTTTGTAGGGTTATTTTTAGTTTTACTTTTTTAATTCTACAATTTTTTCCATCAATTTTTTATTTAATATTTATTTGATTATATTCAATTTAATTACATTGAATTTAATAGATTTTTCATTATAGTTATTATTTCTTTTCTCATTTACTTTTATTACTTGCAGTGTGTGTTGCTTCTGGTTATTTTTGTGTATTGCTTTTAATGATGTTTCCAGTGACGTCAAACTTATGTGTGTGTCTTGTTAATAACTGTAATAACTGTGTGTCTTTAAGCTTTTGGCTCATTGTACATGAAGGGCCTGATGAAGCTCTGGGAAAAATGTGTTGCTTGGTCTCTTCTACAAACATTTGTTTCTGATAAAAAAAAAAAAATATCTTATTCCTACAGGGTTATAACTTTGAATGCTCAAAGAGTGCCTCTACCACATCTTCATCGTCATCCTTCTCCTTATCATCAGCCTCAAGTCAATCCACTCGGCCAATCATAGTGCCCACAGCTCAAGCCCTGTCCCCAAAGCACGTCTCCGTACCGAGCTCTCAGGAGGATTGCAACCCCACCAAAGGAAAACACACGCTGCCGTCTCCTTCTGCGACCACTCCTACTCCTCCTGCTCCCCTAACGCCTCTAGAACTGGACACCATCCACCTCACCAAGGACCAAGACAAAAAAGAGGAGGGCCACATTCCTTCCCCCGACACACGTACAACATTGTCCTCGCTCACCAGGCCTCCTTCTCAAGGGCAGATGATACAACAGGAATTAGCACATGTGCTGGAGTGTGTCTCTCTAGAAGAGGAGGGGGTCCTAAAGGCAGAGGAAGCAGGAGGAAGGGGAGTAAAACAAGAAGAAGGATCCCCAGTCAATGCCACAAGACACATACAGTCCCCCCTGCTCTTGGGGGGTATCGCTACGCGTCGTGTGGGTGGAGGAGGCAGTAACTGGGGTTCGGATTGTGGCTCAGAGGGCACGGAGGATGAGGGAGGGGAAGGAGCAGTTCTGGAGGTGCCAGACACGGCTCTGCTCCTACCGATGCATGACCCTGACCTTTACGTGGAGATGGTGAAGGGAACAAACTCTGTACCCCAGTACGCTGAAGTGGCTTACCCCGACTACTTTGGCCATGTAGCCCCAACATTTAGGGAACCTCTTGTGGAGAGAGTTTATGGCGTCCAGAGGTGAGACATTTATAGGAAAGTTATTTGCAGAAATCATTAAGCATACAAACTGAAGAGTATGCAGATGATTAAAAACATAACATAAATCATGCAATTAGGAGGAACAGAGTAAAAACCAACAAACAAATATTTTGAAACTTTTCTAAATCTTTGACTTCAAAGTCTAAATTGGCTTTTCAAACTAAATTTACTTTCAACTCTGTGGCTTGTGGAAGGTTATAGTAGCGGGGAAAAAGCATTTATTATAGCTTATCTCATTCATCCTCATTAATAAATAATATTTTTAATGGAAAACATTTTTACCCATTCATTGTTTTGTTGTTGTGGGTCTAACCCTGCAGGTCTAAGATATTCCAGGACATTGAGAGGTTGATTCATCCTAATGATATCCTGGATAAAGTAGTTTACGATCTCGACATCCCCAGGTGAGTTTCTCTCTACTAATCTAAAGCATTACATCACTCTGGCTAAATCATCGTGGTTAAAATCACGACTTTTGCCATCCCAGTGACAAAAGCTACAATTTGTCCTTTTTTCTGATCATGCCGAGAGCTGTGACATTCACAAAGCTAATTAGCTCAATTTATCATCTATATATTGAGAAGGGTAATGACTTCTCAAGAGTGTTGTTTATCCCTCCTAAATATTGTTGTGTTTTTTGTGTTTCAGTTGTCCTGTAATTGAAGACAGTGGCGAATCCCTGAAGTTTAACTCTCAGTTTGAGTCTGGCAACCTCAGGAAGGCAGTTCAAGTTAGGAAGTAAGTTTTATTGTCACGTCAATAATGGGAAAAAGTTAGAGAGCAAATTTCAGATGTGCAGTTTTAATTAAATCACCTTCTATCACATTAATACATTTAAAGCTGTTATCAACTTTTACTATATTCAGCTTTCTTCTTATGTCAACTTAATAGAAATTAGATTAAAAACTAAATATTTGTTACATCATTATTGTTAATTGTTGATGATGTTTGGGTCCCTGTTTACAGTTTATGTTGTGGTGTCTCTGCAGATATGAGTATGACCTTGTGCTGAATTCAGACATCAACAGTAATCACTACCACCAGTGGTTCTACTTTGAGGTGAGCGGCATGCGTGTTGGAAGTACCTACCGCTTCAACATCATCAACTGTGAGAAGTCAAACAGCCAGTTCAACTACGGTGAGACACTCAGCAACATCTGGATAAAAAACAAAATGAAACAGTTGTTTCGATAGTTCTTCATCTGAGACCTCAAACTGGTACAATGTTTTGTTTGAGCATCAGAGAGCACAAATTCTGAGCTTTTGTACCTTTCTCCTATGTGTGTGTGTGTGTGTGTGTGTGTGTGTGTGTGTGTGTGTGTGTGTGTGTGTGTGTGTGTGTGTGTGTGTGTGTGTGTGTGTGTGTGTAGGCATGCAGGTGCTCATGTACTCTGTGCAAGAGGCGATCAGTGGCAGGCCTCGCTGGGTCAGAACAGGAACAGACATCTGTTACTACAAGTAGGTACACTCGGAATGCAGAGGACCTGGGAATATATTGAGGGGAAAGGCAAAAAAAATTGTGTTACAGTTATATGTGGCAAGCGCACAGTTTTCACACAGTATGCCAATTCTGACATACTGTATCTGCTGTACTGTAGTGTATTAAATACCTTGTATCTCTATACATTTTATTACGCTGTAAAACACTCTCTTAACTACTTTATAGCTTGCTACAGTTATTATGAGCTAGTGCTAATGTACATTTTTACCTCTTTCTCTGCTCCACACACACCGTTTCTTTACAAATTTCAAGTTTAAAATGTACCGCATGAAGTCAGTGGCAATTTTGTTTGTTATGCCTGCATGCAATTTGATACAGCTATTCTGCCATAAAGTCCACTTTTAAAATGCCTCTTACTTTGAGCAATGTTTGTCCTCCCTATTTACATATATAATATTAGAAACACCTCTTAATGTAATGCAGTCCAGTTCAACAACACCACCACCTTGAACTATCACCTCAGTAATAAACATGAATTCACACATTTGTGCCAATGTCACCAAAAACTGAACATTATAAACCAGGTGGAATTTATGGCAGAGCTGCTGTTTGTACAGGTGTACCTAATAAAGTGTGTGTGAGTGAGTGTATGTGCTATATTGTCCAACATTTACTCATGACATGTTCCTCCTTCTCCACAGGAATCATTTCGCGAGGAGTTCCATCGCAGCTGGTGGTCAGAAAGGAAAATCCTATTATACAATGACTTTCAGCACAAACTTCAGCCACAAGGATGATGTCTGCTACTTTGCCTATCATTACCCTTATACATACTCCACTCTGAAGGTAGTTTTACAATACCACTGTTTGCTGTGATTTAGAGAACATAAGCATTTTGTAGTGTGTTTGCATGTGCTCACACAGTAATTATTACTCTGTTCTCCCGTTGCTAAGCCCCCAGTGTGACCACAGATGCACCTGCCTCTTGATGGACTCCAGTGTTTTGTTTCCAGTGTTTTATCATTTATACGTCCTCCAATTATGAGCTCCGATAACTACTGTGCTCTCAAACTACCGTACACTGATTATGTCAACAGTTATGTTATTATAATTACATTTTGTCTGCCTTTATCAAGGGTGACCATCGAGAATTGCCTATAATACAAGCAACAATAGAGAAGCCCAATCGGAATCACTTTATCACAAGTGGCCTAATAAACAGCCGGCGCAACAATACAACAGTAAAACCCAAGAGGCGTGGGGGCTTAAATGGAAGTTGTAGATAATAATGTTAGTAAGTGAAAAACTGTAATTTGTTTTTCTGTCATCGTATCATCAGATGCACCTGTCCAAACTGGAGGCTTTGAGGACCCCTCAGATCTACCTGAGACAGGATGTCCTGTGTGAAACCCTGGGGGGAAATGGCTGCCCCCTTCTCACCATCACTGCCATGCCGGAGTCCAACTCCAATGATCACATCTGTCAGTTTAGTAAGTAAATCAGTGTAGCTCTGTGTACATGCCTCTTTTAATTTTATTTTTTTATCTCAGCTGCAAGATTTCTGGTGAAATAGAGTTAAATGAATCCCAGATGTTAAAATCTATCCAGAAATGTCCCAGGAATGTTGCAACAAAATCATGATCACAGCATCATATTCACATCTTCAGCAAACTGAGCTCTTTCAGGGCAAAGAGTTTGCAAGTGGACTTATTATATTTGATTATTTTGTAACAATTCATTAGTTAGTTAAAGCTTCTAATGCTTTGCTCTTGGATATTGTCCTTGAACAATTTTACCAATACCTGACTGAAATGTTCCTTTCTCACTAATGCTCATAAGAAGTGAATATTACTATACCAGAACAGCCCTGGGGTATCAGGCCATGCAACTACTTCCCAAATAGGTTTTCTGTCCACTGTAGTTCACTGATGCTGTTTCTCAGCCGTGAAAAACTTTAAATTGAAGATTTTTTTTCTTTTTTTTTGCTCATTCCATCTTCCTCTGTTTGTGTTTGTGCTGCGTTCTCCCTCTCTCTCCCTCTTCAGGGAATCGTCCATTGATCTTCCTGTCGGCCAGAGTGCACCCTGGAGAGACCAACGCCAGCTGGGTAATGAAGGGCACGCTGGAGTTTCTGATGGGCACCAGCCCGCTAGCAGCCAGCCTGAGAGAGGCCTACATCTTCAAGATAGTCCCCATGCTCAACCCTGATGGAGTTATAAATGGAAAGTGAGTAAAAAAAAAAGAGTCTCAAGAAAGAAACAAACGCACATTCACAGCTTTCAAGTATACACACTGAAGACGCATACATCTGCTGAACTTGGGCCTGCACGTTGGTCACAGCTTTATTTATATTAACACACAAAATCTTGTCTTGGAATATTCTCTAGCTGTTGCTCTGTTTCCTCCACTCTATATATCCTTCCCTTCTTCTGCCGTCTCCTTTCTGCTGTAGTCATCGTTGTTCTCTGAGTGGAGAGGATTTGAATCGCCAGTGGCAGAACCCCAATCCTGAGCTCCACCCCACCATCTACCACACTAAGAGCCTGCTGCAGTACCTTGCACACATACAGAGGGCACCACTGGTATGACCTCTAATTAACTAGACTTAAATTACTTTGGGGCATTTTGCACGTTGCTGCATCATCTGTCATTAGGGAAGTATAAAAGACATCTCTCCTAACATCTCTTTTAATGGTGGTGCCGTTCCTCCTGTTCAGCTGCACACTCTGTTTGGCTGCATGTCCACTAAATTTCCCATCAGGTAATCACCAAATTAGTTTGGAGACATGAATGCAGTTGCCATAAACAACAGCCTCTATTGGCCTCTGTGCTACACTGTGTGTCAGCAAGTTGGATATAATGGGATATTGCTTTGATGGGAGATGTGTTTACTCTGCAAGGGTGATGACTTTACAACACAAAGCAAGGTGAGGTTGCTGTCCTTCCTCTGGAAACAGACCCAGGAAAATGTCTTGAGGAATATGAGCAATAACACTGACATCAGTGAACCATTCAACTTAATAGTGCAGTAACACAGTTCATTTGAAGATTAGTGAATTAATTTCAGGTATTGTGTTTTTATTTTATTTTTATTTTTACATAGCCACTTAAGTAAACAAGTCTGTAAAAACAGAGGAAGAGTAAATGAAGCCAATGTTGGTTCACTGTCTTACTGAAAAATGCAATGTTATAATGATGCATCACATTCTTAATGCTTTCCTTTCTCCATTTCCTATGTGTCTGTGTGTGCATGTGTGTGTCTTTGTGTGCATGAACACACAGGTGTTTTGTGACTACCACGGCCATTCCCGGAAGAAAAATGTGTTCATGTACGGTTGCAGCGTGAAGGAGACAGTCTGGCAGTCCAATATCAGCGCTACGTCCAGTGACTTACAAGAGGACCTTGGATACAGGGTGAATATACACACACACACACACACACACACACACACACACTAGTAAATGAACACACGCTGATCCTTACCTCTCTCTTTTACATCACCTTGCAATGTTTTTGCACGTTAAAACTGAGTTAGAGTTTATCTCCTCATTGTTTAGTTTACGCCCTAAATCTACATATCTAATGATACCTAATCTGTTTGCAATAACATGTGTTTCGACATCAGCGCCTATCTGAAAAAAGTAAAGAAATTTTAGTAATTCACCTTGAATTTTTTTGTTCTTTCCATTCACCAGTCAAGCTGGTCAGGTCAAGATCAGGTTGTTGTTTCTCTCTGCATTTGGGAATTCAGAAAATGTATCTCACTGAGCAGAATGCTAATAAAGGAGCCAGTTCAATGCAGAGTTTCCTAGTGGACGTGTAGCTTCAGGCTACAAGCCCACAGCAAACATTTTGGTTTGCAACAGTCAATACTGCGGCTTTCCCAAGCAACTGCTCTGTACACAAGCCTTTCTCTGTTGGACACAGTTATTTGTCCCTACTATAAAATGTACTTTATCATTTGCTTTTGTCATGTGTTTTTCAGGCACTTCCTAAGATCTTGTCCCAGATTGCCCCAGCCTTCAGCATGGCAAGCTGTAGTTTTGTTGTGGAGCGCTCCAAAGAGTCAACCGCCCGCGTTGTTGTATGGAGAGAGATTGGAGTGCAACGCAGCTACACCATGGAGAGCACGCTCTGTGGTTGTGACCAGGGCAAATATAAAGTAAGTGTGTATTTGATTTTGTTTATAGGGTATGGACAAAAAAGACCTGTCCAGTGTAAGTTCAGTAGAATAACCTGCAGTTAAATACTCCTCCACACATTCTTAGAGCATTTTGTGCCTTTTTATTATAAAGACGGTAAAGAAAAATGACAAGAAATGCGAGGAGATAGAGATGGAGAAGGACAAAGACAGCGATCAGCTATTATTTACATGTATGCCAATAAACAATGGAGTAAATTATTCAGAGCTATTTTCCTTTCTGACAAAATCTTTAAAAAAAAGTATCGCAGTGTCGAGGTGTTGTGTCCACCCTCTGTAAGTGAGAGGGATGTGCCCTTATAAATCTCCAGCTGTCCACCAGGTGGAGCTGCAGTCCTTTTTCCACTTTGCATCTGCTTCACCTCTGACTTTTCTCCTTCTGTCTTTTGACCCCTTTACCTCCCTTTCTTCTCTCTCTGTCTTTCCATCCCAGCTGATTTCCTTCCTCCTAAATTCTGCCAATGTCAACATCTTACATATCCAGAGGTAGTCTAGGGATGCCATTTTGGCACTGATTAGCACCCCCTCTGGTTTGTGTGGAAGTATTTGTCCAGATGTGCAGGAAATAATGTCTTCTGAAATGAGCTGCATATCTCTGTGGCCAGGCCAAGTTTAGATGTTCCTAGCTCTGCTCTGGGGAAAAAGAAACATGAAAGTTTTGTGTGTGTGTGTGTGTGTGTGTGTGTGTGTGTGTGTGTGTGTGTGTGTGTGTGTGTGTGTGTGTGTGTGTGTGTGTGTGTGGGAAAGTATTCATTTACTTGTGTCACTGTACAGCACTGTGAAGACTTTGAGGGTTGCAGGTGTGAGTGCATGTGTGTTTGAATGTGTGCTTCCTGCAAATGAAATATATTATCATGTTTCTACATGAAAAGTTTCCTCACCAAGTGCTTTCCAGCATTGAGAATTGGGACGTTTGAAGATGGACAACGGCTCCTTCCCCAGACTCCAGGGTGGCTATAAAAAATCACAGCAGCCATTTTAAAGGAGATTTCTGTTAAACCTTTGAAATTATTTTTGAAATTAAGCTGTGTTAGAAGTGTGCACAGACTGTACATGCAAGTTTGTGTGATTGTGATGTTTTTGTGTGCGACTGGATTGACGTAAGTATTTTAAATTCTCTTTGATGTACATGTTCTCTTCAGGGTCTTCAGATCGGTACCAGAGAGCTGGAGGAGATGGGAGCTCAGTTCTGCGTGGCCCTGCTGAGGCTGAAGAGGCTGACGGGGCTCCGCAACCACCAACACCTGCTGGATTTGGAGAGCGATATCATCGGGACACAGTCTAAAGTGGTCAGGTTAGTAAAGTGGAGCAAGCCACAACACACAGTTCATGCAGGTGCACACAGATGCTGTGACAACTATGCTAGTAGAAATGATGATGATGCTGGCGTCAGCAACAGCCACAAACTCAGATCTTTTTATTTCCCTCCATCGTAAATGCTTTGTTATCCTCATGCAACTTTCTCAAGATGAGATGAGATGTTTAAAGTGTTTTATGTTGTCACAAATTCTACCTGGAAAACAGTAAAATGGCCATAGTCTTCTTTTTTGCACAAAACACCCTCCTCACTGCCAGACACGTTCCCCCTTGGCACTGATACTTTACTCAACGGTGAGACTGTCACTCCGGATATCCTCTGAAGCACTACTCAAGAAACAAATGAAGGCCTGCATTTATACACGGCTGCTGTGAGCATCATTGAAATTCTATCAGTGTGTGATGAATATAATGAAAACTGTGGAGTGAGAGGGGGAATGGGTATGAATAATTGTCAGCAGTGTCATTATTTATATATAACAGCCACAAGATCTTTTTTTTTTATTTTTTATAAAACCATTTACACCTACACAGTGAGGTTTTTGAGGGCACAGGATGGTACCCATGCACATTAAATGCACAGGGAACATGCAAACCAGTACACTGCCTTCCTGCACAACCGCTTGTAGCTGGAATATTTTAGCAGAAAGAAATATATTAAAGGGATCAGTGTCAGAACGTGTGCTCATCCATTTAAGTGCCAGTGCATTCGAGGGATGGCAGCATTGAATGTTCAACTGAAAGACAAACAGTAATTTCACTAGTCAAATCGAACAAATCGTATCTTGCTTATAGCTCTTGTCACACCATGTTTGCTTTGTAAAAGAGTATCAGCAGCGATTCATTAGAGTGTTTATCTTGATTTTCTTTTTCTTTGACATCACAACTTAATGCCTTGGTCCTTCTCTTTCTCTCTTTGGAGAGTACAGACGGGGCTTAGGCAAACCAAAGGTTACATTATTGCTATTTCCTCAGTGTTTGGTGTGTTGTGTGTGTAAGATGAATTATAATGATCGTAAAATCACCCAGATTTTCCCCTTCAAATTGGTGCTGAAAAGATTTGTCTATTTATCATTCATCAGGAAAAAAATCATATTTGGTATTCATTGTGTAAAAATGACTTAAGGTTCTCTGGTTTCAGCTTCTCCAGTGTGAGGATTTGAGTGACTAATTGATAAAGTCTGTCCTACTTTAAAAAGGGGTTTTTCATTCTTTCTTAGAAGCAAAAAAATGGAAAAATCCTCAAAAGTCCAAAGAAAAAAGTCCTAATTGTCACCTTTGCCACACAGTACGCTTGCTAAAAGTAGGAAAAGTTATGATGTATCAGGTTGATAAACCAATGTTAAGTTTGTTTTATTGAGCTTTTAAAGTGGACCCAAAACAACGTAAGGGTTAGATAAGATAAATTAGGTTTTAATTCTAACATCACGATCAAATGTTTATTGATCCTTTATCTGTATTTTAAGAGTTACCTTCAATGATGACACAGCGCTATTCTTGTACTTCCAAACAGATGACCACAAAGCTTTACTGTATATCAAATCAACTCTATTATAATTCCCTGACTGGAAATATAAAGTCCACACAGATTAGATTGTACTTCGGCGCAACGCCACAAATAAATTATTAAACTTGGCCAAACCCAAACTGTGACCACCAAGGTTATCCTGATTTCTTTTTTTTTAAACGTTAGTGTTCTCTGCGCCACAGATTTGTTAAAGCAGTTGATTTGAAAGAATGGCTTTAAACTCAAAACCACTTAATGCTTACGTCTCTCTCTTTGTCTCCCAGTCTCTCTCTCTTACTAACCTACTCTACTCTCATATTGATATATTCATTCATCATTTATGTGTCTGATCATTAAGGGACTCCAAAAGTGTTCTGGTGCTTTTGTGTTTGCGTGAGTGTCCTTCGGGATTTGTTTCTCTCCATCCCGGGTTTATGGTTTTTATGCGCGGGGCTTGGTATGGTACCACTTACCATTTAATAGGTCATCACAACAATGATATTGTGGCCATTGGGAGGCGTCTGCAAATAAGCGGGTGTCTCAGAGTGAGTAAATAGGTGGATGCAGGCATGGGTGTGTTCTGAGCATAAAGAAGACAGAAAGAGATGTATGTGTGCGAGGGTTTGAAGATGTGGACATTTATCCACATGTGAATGAAGGTAATTGTAGTTTTTGATGTATACATGGATCAGTATATTAAGATGGATTGTATATAGAGATGATGGATCCAGAAAATGTAACTCAGAGAAAGGAGAGATTGGGTTAGTTTTTTTTTTTCTATAATGGCCTGTAATGGTTGACTCACAATTGACTCATTATCTGTTTGGACAATATTCTGTCCATCTACATCATTACACACACACACACATTATCACACACATACACATTTACTGTACATATACTGACGCACAATTCCTCTCTCTGTCTCTCACTCTTGCACTCACACACTGGTGAGCTTGGTGGGAGATCATTGTCTGAGCCCCCTGATCGACTGTCTCTCCGGGATCACATTTCAGACCATTAACACCATTAAAAAGCCACTAAAGCCACTAAAACCTCAAAGAACCAGCAACCATTTAACCATTAAGACCCACAGGAAAAAAAAAAAACTGCTTCGCCAGTCATAGTACACAACTGTTTTCCAGCTTGTATTCTGCTATAAAATATATTTGAATGTATATAATATTGTAGTAGATTCACTGTCTGTTGTTTTGTCACAAGCTGGAGCTGAAACATTTACTCAATTAGTCGATCTGCAACAGTGTTTATAAATATAAAGTAATTTATGAAACAAAAATGCCAAACATTGTCTGATTCTAGCTTCTCAAAATTAAGGATTTCTTGCTTTTCTCTTTTTTGTAAGCTGAATTTTCTTGAATTTGAACTTGAATTTTTGCCAGACAAAACGAGAAAGTTGAATAAATCACCTCGGGCTCTTGGTAAATTCTTTTCTTTATAAACTAAAAAATGTATTAATTAATCTTAAATAATTGATAGATTCATCGATAATGAAAATAATCATCAGTTGCAACCCTACTATTACTGCATTTCATTTCAAATCATTTCATCAGATATTGTGGAAATGCTAAGTTGCATGATCACGCGCTTCATGTGTAGATTTTATTCTCTTATAAAGCAAAGATGATTTATCCAAATAAACAGGCATATTGATAGTCGTACATTTAGTATGGATACCTCATGCAATGTTTGGTTTGTGTTTTCTGTGCTTTCAAGAAATGGGCTTCTCAACAGTGCACTTTGAAGGACCATGAAACCCATTTCAAATGCATTTTCTTGGGTATTTATTCTGTGAAATCAGAGAGCTCTTAGTGACTCTGAGTTCAGCTCAGAGTGAAGCAGAGTAACACGACAGTTATATGCTATACAGTGAGCGAAGATGTGTGTTTGTTTTTAAGAAGTGTTATACAAATGTTTATCATTTATTCAATAGTTTCTCAAAATAAAGCATGCAGAAATGCACTGTGTAATTTTAAAATATCCATAGGCATTAGTGGTGTAATGCGCCTTTTCCAAAGTCCTGAAAAGCTGACATGATGTATATGCGGTGTTTTTGCTGTGACAGGCATATTCACCTCATTAACTCAGAGAAATGTCTTGTTTTGTTATCCAGCAGCAGCCCCACCACCTATGTGATGGAAGAGGACGAGCCGTCCTTTCTGGAGGCGATAGACTACAGCGCGGAGAGCAACGATGAGGACGCTGAGCCTGAAAACGAGCACGGCATCGAAGTCCATGAGAATCCCGAGCACCACGATCACCTGTCGGACTCCGAGACAAATCACAGGGACTAACGCTGAGGTCTTTATCTCCAATATACCTGACAGTCTGAGCTTAAAACCAGCCATTGCTTGGATTGTTAACTGATTAAATTAAAGATTTCACAGGTAAAATAGTCAGAACCCACCATTTTCACCTTGACTGGTGAATAAATATCTTAGATTTACACCTGACCTTATTATCTAGACACTTAATCATGGTACGTAGGCTACATTGGCACCATTCAGGTGCTGCGTTGATCGTGAAGGTGCGTACACTACCTGCCTTTCACTGCAGACAGGATGCATTACAGTGAATGTTTTCACCTTCCACCGTCATACTATAACCTTCATGAACCGTAACCCCTGACCTCAGACACCATATAGCCTCTGAGATTCGCATATAGCTAGCCAGAGCAGCAAACAGCAGGCACCGCCGATCCTTAACTTGAACCCTTGTCCACTCGCTCATTTTTCACAGCCGATCTTACACTGAAGCTACCTGACAAGGCTGTGGTAGTGTAATAGAGCCAGTGGCTTCTCTAGGTACTGTTTTTGAAACCCCTCTCACCTATGACCCTGTGTTTTGAATGAAACACTCCTGGTGATTGTGGTGAAACTGGATCTCCCCCACTGACCAGCTTAAAGATCCAACCGACCTGCCTTCTTATTTCCCTTCTTCCTTTCTATAGTCTCACCCTGCACTTTAACTTTTTACTTCTTCCTTTTGTCAGTTTCCTTTCCTCGCTTGTCTCCCGTCCTCCGTTCTTTTTTTTCTCTTCTGACAAGCCAAGGTGTCTACATGGGATGCACGGATGATCAAACAGCTATGCATATCATAACTTAGCTGCAGGTTGTCTCACGTAGAAAGCGTCTCATGTAGAAAAAAAAACCTACTCAAATGTAGCTACACTTGAGTTGTGACCTCACTTCCTCTTTCCCCCCACCCCCCTTCGGCCACAGTGCATGTGGTCCGATCGTCCATGTGCTGTTTGCCTTGCTTTATCCAAATCTGTAACTATATCATTCAAATGTAGAATGTTCACGTCTTTATCAAGACAAACCTTGTACAATACAAATACAAACGCAAATATAATCACACACCACAAACTAACTAACACAGGTTTGCGTTGAGTTTCTTGGTCAGCAGTAAAAACGTGAAGATGGAATGTAAAATATCCACATGCACTGTTGGTGATTTCATTGTTTTTAACAATAGACAGTATTATAGTGTTAGACAAAGCAGTAATGAACAAGACGCATGAGCTGCAGAGAGCAGAAAAAACTTTTTTTTCACTTTGGATATACTCGCAAAACAAAGAGTGAAACATCACTTTACAACATGTCACTGTTTGAAAAGCTCAACTTCAGTCACCTCATTAGTTTGAAGTTCTCAGAGTTCAGCCCCAAAGCTGGTGATAATGTCGCTGTGATGTTTTAGAAAATTATACTGGAATTTTGTTTCCTTTTTATTCTCTCCTCCAATCTGTGTGTACATTTCACGGATTTGCTTAGGAGAGACCCATGCATAACAGATGGTGCTTTGTGTTGAGAGAATAAAGTAGTTTGTTGCATTATTTGTTTGTTTATGGAGATGAGGTACATTTCTGTTGCATTTGTACAGCTAGCGCATGGCTATTTTCTGTTTTTATTTTGTAATTTATTAAGTATTGTTTCTGGGAACCTGTATGTATGTATATGAGGCATTTTGAGTGTGTGTGCGTGTGCGCAGGAGTTTAAGTTATTCCATTATTTAGATCAACTGATACTCTTACAGTGTATTTTTTCTTTCAATTTGATTACCCCCTCTCACTCTCCTCCTTCCCTTTAACTTCCTTCATTCCCTCATTTCCCATCTTTCTCTTGGTTATTTTCGTTCAAATGTTACTCATGGACATCTTAAAAACCCAGGGAGGTCCTTGTTCTCTCTGTGTGTGTGTGTGTGTGTGTGTGTGTGTGTGTGTGTGTGTGTGTGTGTGTGTGTGTGTGTGTGTGTGTGTGTGTGTGTGTGTGTGTGTGTGTGTGTGTGTGTGTGTGTGTGTGTGTGTGTGTGTGTGTGTGAGAGAGTGTGCATGATGTGACATAAAGTCGGTACCCTCTGAGAACTGTGTGCTGTTATATGTGTTTGTCGTTAGCAGTTTATGTCGACACGATGCTGGGCTACTTTTGCTTTATTTGTTTGTTGGGAGGTAAACAAGCAGAAAGAGCAACTCATTTTAAGTTGATTGTAACACAGAAAACTGAAGCTAAGAGTGAACATGGACAATAAAATGTGAATGTGGTAAACTGTCTGCTGTATTTTATTTGTTTTTCTTACCTACTGTTGGAGTGCGAAGCGTGTTTTGCCACTGCGATGTTGCATTATTTTTCTTTTCAGTCTCAACTGAATGAACGTTAAATTCACTCAACATTTGTCCTCATGAAGACCTTTCTCTCAAACTTGGTAAAGTAACTGTAATGGATCCTAACTGAGTTATGGGCAGAAGTGCTGTGATTGGCAGAACAAACCAAAAACATGAAAGGGGAAAAAATGTTTTTCTTACCACTGGCTCTTATTCTCCTAGTTCACATCGGTTTAGATAATTGGGTTAAACTGGACTGTTTTCAGTTCTCCATGCACTCCATTGTGAGGCTGTCTAGCATTACTCTACAGTACTGTGGTGAGAAAAATGTTAATTTACAAATACGTGTAGTTTTGGTGCATGGAGATCATGGTTAGATACAGTAAAAGCAACATGATGGCTATGTTCATTTATTTTATGGGTTTTGCATGCTTAAGGTGGGCTTGTGTTACAAATCAAGGACTTTGTTTAAGTGGAATCCTAATCTGAAGTATAGGTTCATGCATGTACATTAATGTGATGTACAATCTGTCTATTTATCTATCTCGTATATTTCTGACTGCATAGAGAAAAAAATACAAGTGGAAATTAATCTTCTGTATCAGATGTATTGTTGAGGGTAATAAAAAGATCATTGTTCTGTTACTGGGAAAATGCAGTTAAGTCTAGAAAGAAGAGGCTTTGAAAATCTGATGATGTAATGCTTTGTCCTCAATCAGCCTCTTGGTGCACAGCAGCTCTCGATTCAGTCTTGAGAGCTGGAAAATGATTTTATTTTTCACAGAAGCCATCAGTAGTCATAAAACTCTTCTTCTTGTTCCTACCAAAACTATGACACGAACCTGACAATTAACCTATGAAACGCATAACACCCCTGGTATCGGCGCTGCTTCCTGGTGAAGTCTATGAAGCACTGTCTGGGTTTGGTTTTAGCTGATTTATTTCTGGGCTAACAGAGCATAAGTAGATACTCAATCACTTCATGTCAGTGGCACAGTTGTATAAGCATTTGTTTAGCAAGGTACCTCCGCTGCTTAAGTGCCCTGAGTAACCTAATCTTTTGCTTCTGAGGAAATGAACAAGGCGAGAAGGGGGCAACAAAAAGGCTGCATAAATGTCTTTTAAAGAGAAGTATTGTATGATGCTGAATATAAATGGATATAAATGGACAGAAGGATGCAGAGGAGGAGGAAAGTGGCATGGCAGAGAGTAGAGAGAGATGGTGAAAGCAGGAGCGGAAGAAAAAAAAAAGGACGAAAGGAATTTGGAGAGGTGGAGGAGAATGTTAATCTGAGGAAGGCAGCGTAGAGAGAAAAGCTCTTTTCCTCTGTAAGCCCCACGCCCTCACTTCCTGTCCCTGCTGTCAATCAGAGCAGCTGAAGTGCATCAGACAAAAGACCCCCCACCACACACACACACACACACCCTACACACAAACACCCTCCAACCACCACTAGAAACACCAGCCAACCAATTAAGTGCTCTGGTCAGAGGATGGAAAGTGTGTGTGTGTTGCAGGGTGGTGGAGGGTTTTGAACTGTATGTTTCTCATGTTCATCAGAGACCCCTAATTAGAAATCTCTCTTCCTCTGTCTCACGCATTCACGCAGGCACCGTGCCCAGCCTCCATCCTCACACTGACGAGCTTATTTCTGTAGTCTAAGTGTGGCTCTGTGGGCCTCTAATAGCGTAGCCAATTAGTGCCAGTGTCCGACTTGGCTGCTTCTCTAACTCACTGGTGGTCCCACTGAGGGACAGAATGGCTCCTCTGAAAAGGTACAAGTCCACAAAGAACGGCCTGACAAAGACTTGTGTGTATAGGCTGCATGTCACTGCAGCACACAGGACTGGAAAAACTTTGAGTGTGTGTGCGTGTTTGATCTCATTGTAATTCAGCATCGGAAGTCCTCAATAAAGAGTTAAGCGGTATAAGCTGTTACACATTATGATGGGGAGAAGTGCTTTTGAAGATTGGTTGAATGGTTCAAAATGGTGCCACTAAAGGTACGAAATTCAAGCCCATCCACAGTTTCAGCCTGACACCATGGTTGTTTTTTTTCTACAATGCTACCAAATGTGGCTTATTTCCACATTATAATAATAATAATAATAAAAACAACATTAAACTTCAATTGTATTGCACATTGTATTGTATTGCTCAAAATCACTTTCACAAGAGAAATAAATATAACAGCATTAACAGACTAAAACAAGTCACACAGCAGTTAAAATGAGCAGGTAGCTGCTAACAGCGCCTGAGCAACACTAGCCAGCGTATAGCAGTTAACAGTAATGTGCAGTATGTTGTCAAAGAAGCAGCAGGAGAGCAACAGCTCCTTCAGAGATGCACCGGTCATCTTCCCTGTGGTACAATACCACGGCTAGTTAGTCACCCCTGGGCAGAGTGAAAGGAGCAAGCAGGCCAAAGCAGGTAACAAGAAATTTGACGGGACTATTAAGACATCTCAGAGACAACGGGGGGAGACTAATGTTTGGCTGAGTGCTGTTTGTGTACTCAAGGTGGCTAAAACAGTAAAACAGGGAGATGAACAGACATGAACTGGTGTTTTATAGTGTGTGGATGCTACCTCCTGACTGGGCGGTGAGTTCAAAGATCTGTCTTTACTCGTAGAACTGGAATTTCATCCAGTAACTACTTTTTATTTATTTTTTTTAACTATCAAAATAATCATAAAGTTGAAAATAAGAATTTAGAAGCATATGCATCCAGATCCTTTAAATCTGACTTGAATACGCCTATATCAGGTTCTTCTGTTCATTGTTCCTTGAACAAAACAATTAAATTAAGAAATTATTGGGAAAATGTAAGGAGGAGATTTGGTCTGTATAGATGAGACAAAATAATGAAAAGAGTTAAAACAGACAAGGCACAGAAAGACTACTTAATTCAGACGCACGGGTTTATGAAAATGTTCTTTAGTAAGAGATGAAAAAGGAAGTCACTGACAGACACATTTCAAAAGAGTGTCTGTTTCAGAGTTTGAGGTCCTGACTTCTTTAGTTTTAAATCTAGACTGGGAAAATGCAACTGGAGTTTTGCGGCTGGATCTGCGGTTAAATTAAGTAAGGGCAATAAGCAATGTACAATATGCTGGAGACAGACCATGGAGTGTTTTAAAAGTAATACATAAAATCAATTCTAAACCAATGCGAAGAGGTGCAGCTCTCTTGTTCTTAAATGACCACCAGTGTGTTTGAATACAGCTTGGTCTTCCATCTCAGTGGGTAGGAGAAAACTATGGTGACCCCGAAACTTGACTAGACCATTCTAAGCTACTGTAGAAACATGGCAGGTCAACATCTAAGAGAACAGAAACAAACCATGAAGGTCAGAAAAGACCAGATCCTGGGGGGCCCGGATCGCTCACCTGGTAGAGCTGGTAACACTACAGTTCTTGTTGTAGTGGCCCTTTGCAGCATGCCATCATCCCCTCTCTCTGTCTCCCCCATTCACTGTCACTCTTCAGCTATCACTACTTATTAAAGGCAATAAAAAGATAAGATCCTACAGTTCCCAAGATACAATTGTTTCACACCTCCTGTTTGCAATACAGGCTCTCTGTAAAATGGACGTCATGTGTAAAATCGGCCCCTTGTATCGGCTTTCATTAGAAAACTCAAAAACCAGTTGACGGCACACAGCTGATCAAAAAGACTAAAGGGTCTAGTACATCCTGATGTTTTTTCTTTAAGTAATTCACTTTGCCAAACTATATCTGAATAAATGCCAAAGTTGCTTCAAGGGAACGCTGTGTCATAGACAGCGTCTCTCACTAGGGGGAGCCACTTCTGACTGTGTTCTTGTAAAGTCTTTATATGTGCAGCTTTTTATAAACAGTCTACAAACACACAGCGCGAACATGGTGGTGTTTTGTTTGCTGCTTCTGTGTGTGTGCATGTATGTGTGTATGTAAGGACAGAAATTGCAGCTGGCGATAAACTGACAGAAGACGGCTTGACACAGATAACAGACGCAAACCCACCACGTTAAAATCAAATGCCCTGCAAACATTTTTTTGCAGAAGCTCACATGGACCCACTTTCTCTTTTGCATATCAATAGCCCTAGATAGTAGATACACACACACAGACATAATTGGTTACGTAGGGAACGGAGCCAACTTGCACCTCTCGTTGCCGTGGTAACCAGAGAGACTGATTTTTCTAGAAGCACTTACTCACATCCCGTCTGTTATTCACTTGTTTGTTCATTCATTCCTCCTTTTAGCCTTTCTTTATGCAACACTCTCTCCCCCTCTCCCTCTCCCTCTCCCTCTCTCTCTCACTGGGTGCTTTTCAACCCATTTCCATTCCCACCTCTTCTCCAATAAGATGCCCTCTTAGCATGCATATGCAAATGAGGCAGACTTGAAACCAATTAAAAAGAATTGAATAACGAACAGCATTGTGTCCTCCGTGGTTGGACACAGGGATAGCGGCTCAGACCCACTGACACAACATCTAAGCGCTTACAATGTCTGTATAATTTACCTCTGACAGTCAAGCAAAGGAGGTGAAAATCAGACTGATTTGATCATTTCATCTGTTTATGTTGACTCTTTTTTTAAACTTACAACACAAATGCAGCATTTCTTCTTTCTCCTATCTCTTCCCATCTCTTTCCACTCCTTTCCTATCTCATCCGTTGCCTCCTTTCCTAGACTTCCCCCCTCTACGCCTCCACAGCTCTCTCCAGGGTGTATCAGGTTATCATTGGCCAACAAAGCAGGAAACAGGAAGTATATATTGCTCCATAGACAGAACTCTGGAGATCCTAGATGGACAAACACAGACACACACACACACACACACACACACACACACACACACACACACACACACACACAGACACAGACACACACACACACACACACACACACACACACACACACACACACACACACACCTCTACATCAAATATCCC